TTCTTAATATTATCCAAACCTATCGAAATACTAAGAATTAGCCAAATGTTAACTTCCAGTTAGCAATTTTGTTAGTAATATTGACTTGGCAACATGATACTGACCTGGAAGAGACATATGAAGGTCAACATTCTAAAATTTTAGTATTTTAACTAAGTTTAGAGTTACACAATTATTAATGATAACGTAAAAATGGCTAATATTTTAATGCATTATGAAAGATTTGGATAATTAATAGAATTTTAATAGGGTTGGATAATATAAAAAATCTGAAAAAGGTTTGGATAAAAAATAGACATTACCCTTTATTTATTTATGGAAGTGAAAGAAATTTCACTTTATAAATAATTAGTGATTGCGAAATAGGCCTTCCAAGTCCTGACCCAAGTTTTCATCTCTCTCGCTCTTTTTTTTTAACAAACTTTGAGATCCATTGATGAAAAAAGGCCCAAGAGGGATACAAATATACTAGCGGCAACTATATTAATTTCCTTTTCTACGCATTTTCCCTTTTCTCTAAGGGGTCATTGGATGGAACATTGTGATAGATCAATTGTACCAAATTATCTCATTATGAGTTAATTGGGCCTAATTGACCCATTTGGCATACAAAAAGAGGAATGAAGCAATTTAGGGCTGGGACAATCAGCTTTGGCGCGTTATGGGGTAATTACGTGGTGGAGGGGAGAAATTTTAGATTGTCCCGTTGTGTGCTTTTTATTTTCAAAGTTGTCCATGCATTTTATCTGTAAACCCAAATCTTATTGCAATTCATCATAGAAACTACTACTTTCAGCAGCGTTTCATCTTCTTATCGAAGCTTGGCTACTAAAAACCTGCAATTCGTCCCAATTACTGCAAAAACGAATGGTTTAAGAAACCTATTGTACTAGTATTAAAACGGAAATATCAAATATTGACCCCAAAACGGTAAGCCGATTTATTTGTACATAATAGTTGAATGGTTCAACCACAACTTTAATATAAAAATCTCATACCACTAACTTTTCCAGCATAACGTCCGTTAGGATTTAAAAAAAATAGTAATCTCCAAAATATGTAGCTCCAAGCCTCCAACAAATGCACGTATTAATGTTTTTTTTTTTTTTAACAAAAGGTAATCATGTATTGATCCACAAACGATAGTTGCATTCTGGAATTCAGCCAGGTCTGAAAATCAAAGGTACGACATAGCCGGATACAAAGACAGGACCTTTCTAGCCACAGAATGGGCTACCCTATTGCTATCACGACCTACAAATCGAATACTAGAGCCAGAATGAGTGTTGATATAAAGAACTACTTCTTCGAGCACTGCACCCATCCGATAGTCCTTGACGTCCGCACTGTTGATTTTATCAATGATACTTTAGCGTCGCCCTCAAAAGTGATATCCGCAAACCCAAGGTTCCTACACCACAAGATAGCCTCTCGGAGCACCAGCAGTTCCACTACTATAGGGTCATCCAGCACAGGGAACTGCATCCCCTTTGCCAGAATGACCTCTCTAGCTGCATTGAGAATAACCACTCCACCTGTCGAATGAGACCCATTCCTGGTAGCACCATCCCACCTACATACTAGGCTAGCAGCTCCCGTCAATCCAGGCTGGTTCAAGGCCCGAACCCGGGCCGGAGCACTACTACTGGGAGGCAAACTAACCCACTCATCATACTGTTGGTTAAACTGCCTCATCAAAGCAGGGAAACTGACTCACTCCTACTGTCACTCTAGAAAATGGCCAAGTGTAACCACTTCCTAAAGCGTAGTATAGCGGGTTTGGGTTTTATTGTCAACCCGGGTCCTAGATGTGATGACTACTCAGTGAATTCGTATTATCCTGCAGTGAAACTTTAGTGAAGATCTAAACTAACAAGCAAGCAAAGCAACTAAACGGTTGTATTCAGGTTAGGAGAGGTCACCCGGATATGGTTCCCCCTAGTGTGCAGTTAAGCCGGATTGTAATTACCAAGTTCAATTTCTATGATAGTTATACTGCGGAAGGTTCTCAAACAGTCTGAAGTCTCGACTAAAGGTCTTCAGACCCTCTCAATCTGAGTCTCTAGCGGGCGACTAACCTCCACCGGAGTAAACAGATTGAGGCCCTAAGAACAAAACCTCCACTACCGGAGTAAAACCGGTACAGAATAGTGAGTTGGTTCCTCGACTAAAGTCACCAACTCCCTACCTTCAATCAAGGCTGCTCTATCAACCTAGTCAGATATTCTCATTCTAGGTTAAAGCAGAAACAACATGAATTTGATCAGGATTCAAGTCATTCAATCATTCAAACCTCAATCGAATATAATCAATTCATAGAAACAGTACTTGGGTTCATACAATCAATCCCAACATACAGAACTAGGGTTTCCCACACCCAGATGAATGGGAGAACTACTCCATGGAGAGAGAAGCAAAAGTAGAATCAGATGCGGAAATCATACTGTGAAGATGGATTTATGCTCCTGGACGTTGAATCGGCACTTCTCCAAGCTCAAACCAAGCTCCAATGGTGTTGAAGATCGATCTAGGGCACTTGGAGGCTCTTGTTCGTCGCTTTCTCTCTCTAGGAATCGCTCTGTCTCTCTAAAACTCCAATCCCCTCTCAATTTGGCTGAAATCTGCCTAAAAGGGCATCAGTGGCCAAAGCACGGTCGAGGGCACGGCCGTGCTTTGCCTCAGCCCGCCCGTGCTTTGGCTAGGGTTAATTACACGGCCATGTGTTGGGAGAAACACGGCCGTGCTTTTGGGAGAACACGGTCGTGCTTTGGGAGAACACGCCCGTGCTTTGTCTCGGCCCTGCCCGTGTAATCAGCTCATGTCTGCCAAACTCGGATTTGCTCTCGGCAGTAAAAGCACGGGCACAGAACACGGCCGTGTTTTGAAGGCCTCCTGCCCGTGTTTTCACTGCCGAACCTGTTCTCCTATATTCAATGCTTCGTTTCTCCCTCGTCCGGACTCCGAATCAGTCGCCGTTTGATCCCAGACGCTCGTAGTCTCGTCCTCTTTCTTTCCATGTCAAACTTGCACGATTCTTTGTCCATTAAGTGAGGTATAAATCCATTCTTCTTCAGGTCATGCCAGAGTTTCTTCTCCCGAATCGCCAATTGATCTCTGATTGACTTGAAACTTGCGCCTATGCTTCACTTTATGTGCTAGGACCTGAAATATGACAAAGGAACACAACCTAGTGTAAAATAGGCCAAAGAAGCAATAATGCAAGCTTAAACGATCAAGGAACAAAGGGGAAAACCTGTGCAAATATCGAGTCATCAGAAACTGAACTGTTTACCCTCAAAGACAACCCAATTGCGAGACCGCCAGATCCTCCAGAGGACTGTTACTACTTCCATGAACAGCCTAGGCTGATTAATCAAAGCCAACAACCTCTTCAGAAAAAAGGGAAAAGTCTCCCGAGGCAATCCCTCCCCTAGATACTCCAGTCCCGAATAATCCCACAGAGCACGTGCCACCGAGCAATAAAGGAACAAATGTTCTAAAGTTTCAGAAGCGCCCCAACAAACTGGGCAACGGGGATGAACTGGGACCTTCCTTTCGATTAGTGCCTCCGTAGTAGGAAGGGCCCGATTGAGGATTTGCCAAACGAAATGCACGTATTAATGTTTAATTGATATGACATGACTAAACGTATTGAAACTCTAGTACCCATTTCCCGGCTTTTCAATTCATTATCACCATCATAAAAAAGTATGAAGTTTTGCTTCTTAATTCAATATTATTATCTTATTTCCATGATATGCACAAATAATGAAGGTGACAATAAATAGCACAAATGCAATTGCATGAATGTTATGTTCTTATCCACCATTTTGTTTACATTTTTTTCTTTATTTTAAATTATTTTTCAATAATATTTTTCTTTGCAAATATTTTCTTTCTTTTTGTTTTTGGTCATGTCATTTAGCAATGGAATTTTATTATATTAATTTCTATATCTTCCGGGGACACACTCTCCCAATATTCCGTCTAATTTCTCTCTATCTATTCCCAACTAATCTTTCCCATTATTTTAGCAACAAAAATCCATTTTTTTCCCAAGCACAAATACGTTAATACCCATATAAATTATGCGGCTGATGTGACAGAATTTTTCTATTGACATTCCCTTTTATTTATTTGTAGATTACAACGTATACAAAGAAAGACTGAAAGAGAGCCCGAGGTGCTGACCCGCAGCGAGGCGGTCCATCTTATCCCGATCGGAATGATATAAGTGTTGCGTACAAGTTCCGGCTAGGAAAAATGGACGAAACTTTGTTTCTAATCTCAAAAACAAAAATAAACACAAGGAATCGAAGCCAAATCCAAGAACGCAGCTTTCATCTGGTTATGTTCCTCCTCTTTTACCACCCTATCCTGTCCATATACGGTCGGTCCGACCCCGAATTTGACATCCATATGCTTTTGATCTGGCTCTCTATAGGATGACAATGGGTCGGGTCGGGTCGAGTTGGGCACGGATAGTGTATATCCGTTACCCTACCCATAATAGTTCGGGTTTTACCCATACTCATACCCACATGTGAAACGGGTAGAAAATCAAAATCATGTCCATACCCGTTCGGGTTTCGAGTATCCACGGTTATCTATGGGTAATAATTTCTCTTCATAACTCTAACCAATATGTTAACATTCACACATATTATCACATTACGTAAGAGGAAAAGTATGATAATAATTCACTAGAATGAAAAAAATTAATTAAAACTACACAATTTCATGAAAATATTATATTTATATGCTAAATATAAAATATGTTAGAGAAAAATAATGATTATTTTTAGACAAAATACATATGCATATGTATAATCGGGCGGGTTCGGGTTGGATAGTGAGAAACCCATGCCCACCCATTACTCATAATATTCGAGTTCGGATTTTACCCATAGCCAGTAAATGTTCTTTGCGTTTGGATTTTACCCTACCAAATTAGACCGAATTCGGACAGATATCCACGGTTACGATTATTTTTGCCATTGTATCAGTCCATATTGCTTCACCACTCTCTATAACTGTGCATGAGAATGGTGGACTAAGCACATACGCTTTCGATTTAACCAAAACACGAGGGAGAACTTGGAGCACAACTTGTTTTATAAGAACATACTCGTCACCCTTGGAATCTTTTACCCTACACTACAGAGTAGCAATAAAATTTAAAGAACGAAATGACCACGCAAACACAAAGCTCACATGGAAGGAAGGAAGGACATAGATAATCTCCTTATGTTTGGCGATAGAAAGCACTAAGGGTGAGGAGAGAATGTGACAATTACAACATACGCAAACTTCACATCATCAATGTCGACACCAGGAAAGACTTGTATATGCTCATAAACTTCGCCACAAATGCTGCACGGACAACGAAACAGAACACAAATTCATCACCCACAAAAAGGAGGCACACAGTTTGTTTGTATAATAATAATATGTATGTATGATCTGAAATTACCTTCGAGATGAAATATGGCTTTCTGACCCAATCGCATTCTATGTTCCTGTTCAATAACAAATCAAATAAAATCCAGACAAATGTGTCTCTAGAAAACTACCACCATAACCCGTATAAACATATTCTGATTGAATTAGCAGATGAACTTACATAATATGCAGCCCAATGACAGACCTCATGCTTCAAATCATCATCCAGTTTCTTCAGTAACTCATATAGAAGCCTCTGTTCATAACAAAAAGGACATCATTCGTTAGATGGACTCAGAATAATGAGAACGGAAAGATTATATGGGTAAACTTCTCTACCTTCAACAAAATCTCAGGAGGAATACAGTTGACAAGTAGTTCATACAACTTTCCTCGAACCTCAAACAATCTATCAAATTCAAGAGGTTGTATGATTAGAATCTAGGGGAAAGAGAAGCCAAAACTGTGAAAGCTACGGACATAATGTTCGTTTTCTCTGTCATACCTTTTAGGACTCTGCTCCTTCATTATGTCGGAGGATATGGTGGAAACATACTCTTCCCACTCCAATGGAGAGATTTCTTGATTATTTTTGAAAGGGTACCTAGATCATGAGAGGGGTAGAAATATTAGCATACAAAAGAACAGACTTAAATGAATGAAAGTACACATAGTGTAGAAAACTAGAGCTTAACTGTTGAACCCGACAAGTCTCGAATGAGAGTATGGCTCTCCTTAAACTTCGATTTGATTTTTCAGCTATACGAGCAGTAAATCCGGGTGGAATTTCCAGCCCTTCTTTCTTCCCGATAAAGTCCAAGACCCTAACAATCTGTTATAATAAATTCCACAGAAAGCAAAATACTAAGGCAAAAAGCAGCCAAGGAATAGACAGTTCTGTTTAACACCATTGAAGAAGAAGAAAAATTCCAACCTGTTCCTGTGCAGGAGCATTTATACGAACATTCAGACAACGGGAACGAATAGCTTCAGTAACCTTTGAAGAACTGTTACAGCAGAGAATTAGCCGGCAGGAAGTGCTATATTTCTCCATAGTTCTTCGTAGAGAATGTTGGGCCTCTCTTGAAAGCTTGTCAACCTCATTAAGCACTACCACTGATGGAAAACAAAAGAACATACCTCAGCACAAACAGAGATCCAGCAACTCCATTTTGCTATTATTAGCTACATGCTCCCTAGTCTAATGATCACTAATTCAGATAATATATGAACGACTTTGTTAAACAACACGAGGAAACCAAATCCGGTATGTTGTATATGCCTATCACTCACTTCTATACTTGCCACTTCAATTACACAAAAAGACTACGTCTATAAGTAGACAAAAGTAACAAAAAAGCAGTACCAAAAAGAACAAAACAGAAGGTATGCACAAATCACATGAGACAGGAAAAATCAATTACCTTTGAATGTTTTCTTTCCTTTCGAGTCAATTGGCCTATTCCGAGCCATCTCTTTGATAACATCCTGCACAACATATCTATCCTGGAAGCCCGCATCACTAGGACTTAATTCCACGTGGTTTGCAGTTGATAATGTAGTCAACTCGAGATCAATTGTTCTATTACCAGCCTGAAACACCATGGATTGCCAACCAAAAGGTAATGAACACACATTGGTGAAAAATCAGAGAAAGAAATGAAAACCTCGAAAGGCGAAAGGGTGCATCTGTGGACAGAGATAGAAATTGAATGCCCATTTTCTCGATAGCCTACTATGGTCACATCTAACATTTTCAACAGCGAAGTTATGTTTTAGTTGTTCAATCCACGTATAATAAGCAAAACCAGTACAATCACCATCACGAAAACCAAGCCAAAATACAAACGAAAACCACGTATAAATAAACGATTTACACTTACATCGACTTTCCATGTCCTATTCTCCACCTTCACCTGCCGTTAAAAAATATCAAGCCATTAGCAGAGTAGGAAAATGAACTGTACTGCTTCGTTCTCCTATTGAGCACATGCAATGATTTCAATCCCAATAAGGGAAACAAGATATAGTAAAATGTTTCACCTTTTCAACACCAGGGCCATATATTTGACGGAGCAAACCCATGATTAGAGTTTTCTTCCCAGACCCAGAAGGGCCATAGAAGAGCAAATGGGGGCAATCCTGCTCGGCTACCTGAAAAGCAATTCGAGGGTAAGAAGTCAGAATAACAATACGAACAAGGGACAAAATAAAAAGAGTTGAATGAACCGTGCAAGAGTAGTGAACGAGTACTAGTTTCTTGAGGTTTTGGGCTATGTCTTCATGAACGATCACTTTGTCTAGGGTTTTGGGTCTGTACTTGTCCACCCACAACATCTTCGAATCTTGCCTTCACCTGCAGAGGATTGCACTATACAAACTTCAACAGCTTACGAATAACATACCCAACATCAGTCGGAACTCCAAAACGAAGACGAAAATAGGAGAGAAACGAATAAACGAACGGCGACAGTGGAAGGAAGGGCGGGAAAGAGAAGGCGGCGAAAATCGTTCTCGGTGGAGAGTCACCTTCCCTCGATTCCGAAAGTAAGTGACTGCGTGATGCTTAGATCAGCGACGGTGAGAGAGACGGGCAAGGAGCGAAACAGAATGTAGGAAATTAACCACCGGGGCTGCAACTGAGTGCAGGAAGAACTGAGAGTAAAATCTCCCGACTCCTGAAAGTTTTCCCGGATCCGGGTAAAACCGCGACGCCTGACTGCGTGGGCCCGCCCGCGTAGGTGGTCTCTCTCTCTCTCACACCTTTTTGGTGGGAAGCTGATCTGAGTTTCCCGCCTAAGCACTTCATTGGGCCATTGTGTTCCATTTTAACTCGTCACTCAGTGACTTGAATGGGCCCAGCAAGAATATATCCATTACAAAGATTGGACCATAGTCCTTTTCTGGCCCACGAACGGTCGGTTCATAATAAATGAACCGGTCATTCCAACCGAAACCAAAGGGGGACGACGAGATGAGATGACACAGGATTGGAAACGAAGTTGAGCCTTGAGCGTGATGTTGAGCTTGTTCGATTCGATTGGATACAAGACCAAATACTCAGGCAAAGTAGCGCTCCAAGTTCCACAAGTTTCTGGACACGTTCTGGAAGGCTGAAGGAATCAGTGCTGGCGACTCACCTGATTGATACACTTGGAATTTCCAGAGACTCTCCCGACGCTGTCTGCCGCGGCGGTGCGAAGACTGGCACCAACGCCGGCAATTTTGCTCTTGTTTGAGGAGCTCAATGGGTTGCTTGATCGACTGGCTTCTGGCAAAAAATGGTTTGTATTTCTTAATTGAAGGGCAATTGTGGACTGATTTTGATTTTGAAGTTAATGTCCTGATGTACAGTGCGGTATGACAAACCGTGCCATGAATGTCTAGATGTACAGTGTAAGAAATAAGAACAAGCAATATGTGTTCACATTCGTATTTTCGCTTGTGCGTTCCTTGTTTTCCTTTTAGAAATTCTTGGCTACTTCTCTCTCCAATTGTTTATATGGACTTGAGACACTCTCGGTCTCACCTTTCATACAACTTGTTCATTCGAGTAATGGCACAACAACAAAGCCTAAAGAACATGGAGGCCCGCAAGATGACATACCAGCATGCCCGAAATCCTCCAAAAGGGGATAGAAAAAGAAAGTTCCTTTACAACCAAAAGTTAGCTCTGCTTCAAGATGTATCTTCTCAGTTTCAAGGGTAGCAACTTGTATTCGTTTTTCTAATCTATTATTCCTTTCTTTTCTCAATTGGCTATAATTTTATAGGTACTTCCTCTACCTTTCCGACACTTCAAAGAATAAGTAGCTTGAGGAAATTGAGGAGTCTTCTGATTGGTATTTCTGGGATCTGGACCTTGCATCCATGAAAGAGTTTCAAGTCTCTCTTCTCTTTATCAATTGTTCTTCTCCATATCTGCTACACTTAGCTTTGTGTTTCTAGATATTATCCAACATTACCACAATCAAATATGCAAGTACAGTCGAGGGCCTCGAGAAAAAGTACAACCCAAATGAGAAGTGGACTCGATTTTGTGGTTGCTCTGTCAACTTCCACCATTCGGTTCAGTCTCTGTAATATCTCTAGATTCACTGCTCATGTTTGATTTTCCAGTTGGTACCTTTAATCACTTGCTCGAGTTGCTTAACAAAGTTGTTATCTAAAAAAACCTATGTTCATGTCACATAGAACACTTGAGTGGTTGTCTTCAATGGAGATTACATTGAGAAGGCTGAGGCTTGGACTGTTGATGGGTGGAGGGAAGATCAGCAGTAATCTTGCTCCTGCAACCCATCTGGTTGTTCTTTTCACTTTCTCTTCTTTCTTACCACATACGAAACAAGAGATTGAATGTGTCCCGGTGGGAGTGGTTGTTGGACTCCTTAGAGAAAGAGGAGTCGTTGGAAGAAGATGCATACAGCTTGAAGCGCACCGAGTTTGAAAGAGAGGACTGGTGATGAATGGTAGGAGACTTTGCGGCCTAATGCGTTTAAGTTTTATCTGGGTTTCTCTTTCTCATATTGAATGCTTGTTATATTGCATCTTCTTTTCTTTCCATGTTTCAGATAATGTAGAAGGGAATTGATAAAGGTTGTTTTTAAAATTAAAAAAAAAAACCTTTGGGCATGTTTAGCAAACAAACATTATTTTGACTAAAAAAACGAAAAATACTCAATTTTCCACAGTCTCGAATTCATCGTTGACATTTTCGAGTCGATCGTCAAGAATACATCCGAATCATGAGTAGCGACTCCGACGAGGTAAAAATCTGATTTTTTTATAAAAAAAAACCCAAAACCTCCCAATTGAAGGTGATTTTCGGTTGGTACAATCGAAAATTGGCTTCGGTTGTGAGGTTTTGGTTTTTGGATTTTTTTTGTTTATATCAATAATTTTCTATTCTTTTACTACTATTTATGGTTCGGTCCATAATATAATTTGTTGGATTTGGTTTATATTTTCTTTAGACGATTGATAGTAATTTTTAGGACGACCTTTAACCATTCAGACGTAGAAATCTCGACAACCAGGGAAGATAAGGAGAGAGGAGAGGTATAACTAGTTTTGGCAGACCATTATCACGAGGCAAATGGCAGAACAAGAGGAAAAGAGGGACCGTTTAGCACAGACAAGAAAGGGAAACCAACCAACTACCCTTAGAAAGAAGAACAAGGGCACGTGTTCTGAATAAGCCGTTGAGACGAAATCTTAAAATCAGAGGAAAGTATCGCAGCTGATAGTGATGACGACACCAACGATGAAGGAGGGTTACTATCCCACCTCTCTTCCTCCTCGACTACAAGCTCTCTTAATGTCGCATCAACCGGCGATCCCATCGAAAATGAAGGCACATAAAAATCATGGGTGTCCGGAATCCATTTGTCGCCCCATATATGAACTGATGAGTCATTACCAAATTCCCAATCGAAACCCACTATATAGAAACTCCTGATCCGAAATGAGATTTCGTCAAATATAGCTCGGGCGGTATCCCAAGTGAGCCTCCAACACCGACGACTTCCTGTAGTATTTTGCCTTCATGATTTGGGCCGCCAATGAGTTTGGTTTTTTATAGAGATTCCACAACTGGTTTTGTAGCATGGCTGTATTGAAACCCCTTAGCTCCCGAAAATCCATTCCATCCTTTTCCTTCGGCCAAGCTAGCTCCTCGCGCTTAACCCAATGGGCTCGGCGTTCAGAACCTCGTTGTCCCCACCAAAAGGTGCATATCAGCCCTTGAACCTCTTCCATGACCCCCTCAGTAATTCTGAACGTCGTCATCGCATAAGAAAACTGTGCAAGAGCTACTGATTTGATAAGCACTTCTCTTGCTGCTGTAGAAAGTGTTATCTCCTTCCATCCCTTCATTTTTTTCCCGACCCTTTCCTTAATCTCAAGAAAGAGCCGCTCCTTCTTAGATCTTCCTGCTACCGTAGCCAACCTTGGATATTTTTCATGCTTCTCTACTCGTGGCATACCAAGAATCCCAATAGGAACCATCTGATTATGCATCTGAATGCTTGCACTGAACGATACTGCAGACTTCTCAAAGCTCACCAACTGTCCAGACTCACGCTCATAATCCTGCAATATTCTTTTCAATTCCTGGCTCTCCTGTGCAGTCGCCCAAGTGAAGAATATACTATCGTCCTCGAAGAACAAATGGGACACAGTCGGAGCCCCTTTTGCAAGTTGATAGTCGTGAATTCTCTTTCCATAAGAACCTACCCGGATGTGCTTTCTTATCCCTCTAGTAACATAGTATTTTTATAGTTCTAAATAGTATCCTCTAAAACAGAAAATGAAGGTGAATTCCCTCACTGCCATCCTTTATTACGATCATATCATTTTCAACTGGCGCAAATTGTAACAGTGATTGATCATTCAAAGCTTTGAACTTCGTACAAAAGGGTCACCAAAAGTTTAACTTTTAACGACACGGCAACAAAAGTTTGAACTTGTATGAAATGATCACTCTGTTTAATTTGTGATTGTTTTGTTCTAAGTACAACGTTTTATTATTGAGTAATTACAAATTAAAAATTTGTTACCGTTTTTTGTTAAATGTAGAGATTTGTGACCGTTTATACTAACTATCCTTAAATGATTGAATATTAACATGAGAGATTAGGATAGGAAATGAAGTTTTGATAGAGGTTTAAATGGAAATGACCAGAAGTTCAAGGATCAAAAGCATGAAAGAAAAACATTCTTTTAACAGTCTGGTAAACTTTTGGTGCTGGTTTAGTGATGCGCCTGGCAAACTCATCATTCCCTCCATTCCTGCTTCACACTCTCTTTCTTCTCCAGCTCCATTTCTTCATTTGCTATTTTTCTCATTCCCTCTTCTTTTTTTTTTTTTTTCTTTCTTCGGTTTGCGCCTTTTCTCCTCTCTCTCGCCTTCTCATCTCCGCCCCACTCCCCCCCTCCTTCATCTCTCTCCCGTCCCTTTTCCTCTTTTTCTCAACTGCCAGCTTTTCCCTCGTCTTTGGGCTGCCTCCCCCGCTCAAAAGAAGGGTAGGGAAAACCCAAAAAAAAAAAAAAAAAACAGGGAAAGAGATTCATAATTGCTCCATCTTCGTCCCTAATTCGGTTGCTGCTGCTTGCTGGGTTAGATTGGATCTGGAAGTCCCTTTCATTTCCTCTCCAACGACATATATCCAGGTAGACTTCATCTCTTCTCCCACATTCCTTAAATTCCGTTTTTGGTTTCTCCCTCTTGTATGCTTTCCCGTGGACTCCACTGTCGAAATCCGGGATGGGAAAGGTTATGAATTGATGAGTGATATTACAGTGAATCTGAGTCTGCCTTTTTTTTCTTCTTGTCTCCACGCTGCTTGTTTTTGTTTTATTTTGTTTACACTCCTGGCTTTACGGGGGCTTCCATTTTTGCATTTCGAAATGCCAACGTCCCCCTTCCTGACCCCGGTAGCTCAGTTTGTAATTGATCGAATTCAGCACTTCCGCCATGGAATCCGTCCGAGTTTGAGTTCGTTTCACCCCCCTCTTCTTCTTCCTCCTTATTGTCCGTTTTTATCCCCGGGCGAAACTGTTTGGCGGGTGTTGATTGTGATGGGGGGCGGTGCGGGATGTCGATGTGTAGCAATTCGAGATATGCATAATAATGGTGTCATACAACCAGTACAAACTGGGTTTTCTCATTCGCTATTATATTATTAATTATTCATTCGATTAGAGTGCCTTTCGCATTGAATTTTAGGCGTTCTTATTGTCATTCTGATTTCTGTGCCCAGTAATGATATCTCATTTTGGATTTACCGGCAAATTTGCGCGAAATGTGATCCCCTCTTGCGGGGTAAATGGGTTTTGTACTTCGTCGGCACCTAGTTATAGCGGGGATTCCGGGCTATTCCTTTTAAGCAATAGCGTGATGCTGCCTGGAAATGAATTGGGTCTGATGGATGTACTCATAGGGAAAGTATATGCAAGATATGTCAAGGCTTGAAATATGAAATAAGGGATTAGGTGCATTCTGATGAAATGTTGGCCATTTTTACAATCGAAAGTACATTATAAGCTGTCAATGTCATGGGATAACCAATTGTACTGCTTATCATTGCAGGATACCTGTAGCCCAGCAACCAAACTATCAAAGTGGTGGAGGTCAAAGTTAGTCGAAGTGCGGAAACACTATGTCTGTTTCGATGAGAGACTTGGATCCAGCTTTTCAAGGAGCTGGACAAAAAGCGTATCCTTTACCTGATGAACTATTACCCATTTCGAGCTAGCTTCTCTTTTATTTGCTTGTCGTGTGTTGATGTTAGATTGAAGTAGCTTTATTACATTTTTCCTTTTTCTTGATGAACTGCTGGCCTTAACAAATATAGTGGTCTCGAGATATGGCGGATTGAAAACTTTCATCCGGTTGCTATTCCAAAGGCTTCTTATGGAAAATTCTTCATGGGAGATTCCTATATTATTTTGAAGGTATGTTTTCTCTTATGTAATTGATTGCTTCCATGTAAGAATTGAAAACACATGCGTTATTTTATTAATGCATAGAAAGAAATTACTCTTGAAGTGTATGGTTCCTTCTACATTATGTTATCTAGAAAGTATGTTTCTTAATAGCAGTAGGTTATTGAACCATAGAGGTTGAGAATTCCCATCAAATCGTGATTATTAATATTGGCAGAGTAAGAGGTGGGTGCAGTTTCACCCTCTATAGCATCATCAATATTTTTGTTTTCCAATTTGGAAATAGTGGACTCCATTTGTTACTTAGAATTGGATGATGTTATGGTTTGTAAGAAGATAAATTTAAGGCTTCATGGTATAACGATTTATTTGTTGCTCAATGTATGCACTTTCTTTAGAGAAGGTGCACCAATTATAAAACAGTACTAAGATGTTTGTGCTCTTATCTCTTCAGACTACTGCTTTAAAAAGTGGTGCCTTGCGCCAAGATATACACTATTGGCTTGGCAGAGATACCTCACAGGTTAGCTCTCATTTATAGATTCTTTCAATACTTCAAGCCCATGGTTTCATGCTGTTTGCTAATGATTTTGTGATGCCTTTGGAACAGGACGAAGCTGGTGCTGCTGCCATAAAAGCAGTAGAGCTTGATGCAGCTCTTGGAGGCCGTGCAGTACAGTACCGTGAAGTCCAAGGCCATGAAACTGAGAAGTTCTTATCTTATTTTAAACCATGTATCATACCCCAAGAAGGTGGAACATCATCTGGATTCAAACATGTTGAGGCCGAAGAGCACCAGACACGGTTATTTGTCTGCAAAGGAAAGCATGTCGTACATGTAAAGGAGGCAAGTGTCAGTAAACCTTTGCATGTAGTTGAATGTTTTCCTTATTCTAATTGTCTAATCTTGGTGCAGGTTCCTTTTGCTCGCTCATCTCTAAACCATGATGACATTTTCATTCTTGATACCACGTCCAAAATTTTTCAATTTAATGGTTCCAATTCATCCATACAAGAGAGGGCTAAAGCCTTAGAAGTAGTCCAATATATCAAAGACACGTATCATGATGGGAAATGTGAGGTAGCTTCCATTGGTAAGTTGAGATTTATTTCATATACTCAGAGGTAGCTGCTTCATTCGTGAGGTTTAACCTCTATGGCTATTTGAACAGAGGATGGAAGATTGATGGCTGATGCTGAAACGGGGGAGTTCTGGGGTTTCTTTGGTGGCTTTGCTCCACTTCCACGGAAAACAGCCAGTGACGAGGATAAATTGCCTGCTTCTGATGAGACCAAACTATTTTGGTAAATCCTTTAAATCAATTGTCTTATATCCTCAATTTTCTTTCTAGCTATATCAACATTTATGCATTGTCACAAAATTTCATCATCCCTATCTTTCCCTTTCTTTCATGTTTTCTGTTCCTTTCTCTTTTGACTTCTCCTTTGATTTTACTTATTATTTTGTTATACGTGCACATATTGCCATTCTAATATATGTGCTCCTAATTATTGTTAACAATTCATATTTTTCGAAATCTTGGATAGTTTTGGATGAAATGGATAAATAAGGTGGGCTATTGGAATCTAAAATTGTTGACAACAGGTTTAGAAAGAGGGAGAAAAGGCAAAATATATTCCTTTTTTTTATTTTCTAGTGGAGACAGAATGCTGGATGAATAGTTACGCTGGTTTTTTTATTTTCCCTTGGGATAATGTTTGAGCTTTAATGCTTTATTTATTTTGATAGCATTGGAAAAGGTCAAGCTGAGCAAGTTGAAGCAGATACTTTTACCAGAGAGTTGCTAGACACAAACAAATGTTTTGTTCTTGATTGTGGAGTGGAAGTCTTTGTATGGATGGGAAGAAACACCAATCTCGATGAAAGGAAGAATGCAAGCAAAACAGCAGAAGTAATGATATTTTCCTTCTCAATTAGTATGGATATCGTTACGTAAATTTCTAGGTGCTCTTTTCTTATAGTTGATCTTACTGGTCAGGAGATAGTTCACAAGGCTGATCGACCAAAGTCCCACATAATCCGAGTGATGGAGGGTTTTGAGACTGTCATGTTCAGGTCAAAGTTTACATCCTGGCCCAAGACGGCTGATGTAGCTGTAGCCGAGGATGGCAGAGGGAAAGTTGCAGGTCAGCAAGCTGCAATATTTCGACTTCGTAATATTATTTGTCTGCCCTGTTTCTCAAGTCTACGGTTGCTTACTTTATAATATTTATGCAGCACTTCTAAAACGCCAGGGGCTAAATGTCAAGGGCCTTGTGAAATCCGCCCCTTCAAAGGAAGAAGAGCCACAGCCACATATCGACGTCACAGGAAATTTGCAGGTGCAAGTGCGGCTTTACTTATTTCTAAATTGAGCTGAAAGGATTAGGATCATGTAGATACGCCCTATATGGCTATATTACATGTTGAAAGTATTTAATGGAACAAACAACCATTACCAATTAAGTGTGGCACTTATTGACGAGAAACTGGTAAATCTATTGAGACCAGTGGATATAACTAGATAACTAAATCCATAGAAATCATTAAAGCTAGCGAATGTTCTTGGAGACCCACATTCTACCGAACTGAACTAAGAGCGCTTTCTTATCCCAAAGAATAGAAATTAGAGATTGATAGAAAAGCAAGGATATGGGCTCGTGTGAGTAGGAAACACCGAATAAGCATTCGCTTAAGTTTGAAACTACTGTGCCTGGCTCGTGTCAATGAACATGTAAGGAATACACTAGATAACTAAAATCAGAGAAATGATTTAAGCATTAAAGTTCCCTTCTGGACATGATAGTTCCGGTGATTATCATATTTATCTTGGTTGGCGCAGGTCTGGAGAGTGAATGGAGAAGACAAGGTTCTCCTTCCAGCTTCAGATCAGTTTAAGTTCTACAGTGGGGATTGCTACGTTTTCCAATATTCGTATCCGGGAGAAGACAGAGAGGAGTATCTTATTGGAACATGGCTTGGGAAGCAGAGCGTCGAGGTAAATCTTTCAAGCCTTTCAGTGCAAAGCTGGTTATTGTCTTACTACTAACTAGAACTTGTTTGATGGCACATGCTTTCTCTTGCATGGAGAAGTTAAATGCTTTCATTTCAAGTTCCCATATTTGATGCATATGGCTAGATTGATTAGCTTATGTTTTGATGCACATTTCTCGCTTTCAAGTAGGAGGAAAGAGCTTCTGCTGTTTCACACGCAGGCAAAATGGTCGAGTCACTGAAGTTTCTGACAGCCCAGGTATTTGCCTTTTGACAGTGATGTCTGTTATACTGATAACAACTTTCTCCTCCATAACTGTTTTGACCCTGTTTCATTTTGGATCCGTAGGCTCGCATCTATGAAGGAGCGGAAACTATTCAGTTCCTTTCAGTTTTTCAGTGTTTTATTGTCTTTAAGGTTGGGATTTCAAAATTTAGATCAGTGTTGATGTTTGCTCTCCTAGTTATTCTCTATTCAAATTTCCACTAAGGTGTATATGTTTATCAGGGTGGTCTAAGTGCTGGCTACAAGAAGCATATCGAGGATAATGAACTCACAGATGACACATACAGTGAGGATGGTTCAGCATTATTCCGGATTCAGGGAACTGGCCCGGAAAATATGCAAGCAATACAAGTTGAACCAGTATGGCAAAGCTTGTTTTCAGTTCTTAAAATGTCTTCTGCAAATTAGTTCTTACATTTAAGTATCCAATTTATGTTAATTTACTATGAAATGTGTTTAGGTAGCATCATCTTTGAACTCCTCCTACTGCTATATATTACACAACGGCCCAACAGTCTTTACATGGTCTGGAAACCTTACTTCCACTGAGGACCAGGAAGTTGTTGAGAGACAACTAGATCTGATAAAGGTTTGATACTTTATCTTTGTCCTTCCAACTTCCTTCTGAAGTTCATCTTCCATGCACTGATTTGTCAGTTCTACTCATTTCATTTGCTCTGGAAAATTTGTGGTGAAATAGCTGCACAAGGTTTGCAGGCAGAATCATTTGACATAGAACCATTGATAAAACTAAGAAGCATTCACTTGGGTTAACTCTAATACATGCTAGAATAAGGAGCTCTCTCCTCTCTCTCTGGTTCAGTGATTTGATATGGATTCTCTTTGTCTGGTTGCGGATTGTTCTTGTTTCTTGTGAAACTACAGCCAAATTTGCAATCAAAGCCGCAAAAGGAAGGATCAGAATCTGAGCAATTTTGGGATCTTTTGGGTGGGAAAACTGAACATTCTAGTCAAAAAATTGCAAAGGAAGCTGAGACCGATCCTCATCTATTCTCTTGCACATTCTCAAAAGGTACAAAAGCTACCTTTTCTTCCCACTTCCATTTATTTCCTATTAATCTTGTTTTAATTATTGCTGTACTAGATGGCTAATCCTTGCTCCATTTTGTTTTGTTCTCCCTCCTGATTTAATTCGAATATGTGCTACCAGAAGGAAAGCTGAAGGTATGTATACCTTTTATATTTTAGAATCGTATATGTTCCTTTTAGAACCGTATACCATTAAGTCGTGTCATGCGCTCTCCAGTTGAGTAATGCTAAGAGATATAGTTTGTTCTTGCAGGCAACTGAGATATATAACTTCAACCAGGATGATCTAATGACAGAAGATATGTTCATCCTTGATTGTCACTCTGAAATATTTGTATGGGTGGGGCAGCAGGTTGACTCCAAGAGCAAAACACAAGCTTTGTCTATAGGCGAGGTATGCTACTTTCTTTCTTAATTGAATGAGCATATCATGATACTTTGACTCTCTAGTTCACACAAAGTGACTAAATAAAGCATTTGAAGCTCCGTTTATCAACATTCCTTCCTGATTTCATCAGTTCTCTCTTCTGACAGAAATTTGTTGAGAATGACTTCCTGTTGGAAAAGTTATCCCACGAAACTCCAATTTACGTAGTCATGGAAGGGAGTGAGCCAGCTTTCTTCACGCGCTTCTTCACATGGGATTCAGCAAAATCTGCAGTAAGTGAATAGCATGCACTATGCCAAATCAATCTGTACGACCCTTTTAGCTCTTTGACATGTGCTTCAACATTCGGATGCAGATGGTTGGAAACTCGTTCCAGAGGAGACTCACCATTCTGAAAGGCGGAACGCCAATTATAGATGTAAGCTTGCGCTTTTTATTTCTTTACTATAATGGTGCCCATATAATTGGTCCAGCTTTCCTTCAGTTCAAAATTTATCATCATTGTGATGATTTAGAAACCGAAAAGGAGACCAGCATCGTCGTATGGTGGGAGGTCAGGCGGCGCTGAGAAATCACAACGTTCCAGAAGTGTGTCATTCAGTCCTGAAAGAGCGCGTGCAAGGGGAAGATCTCCAGCTTTCAATGCTCTGGCTGCTACGTTTGAGAATGCTAATGCTCGGAACCTATCTACTCCACCACCAATGGGTCGTAAAATTTATCCCAAATCTGGTAGCGCAAGTCCAGATTCTTCGAAGCTGGCTTCCAAGTCTGCCGCCATAGCAGCACTCACCGCAACTTTTGAACAACCATTGCCAGCGCGAAAAATGATCATGGCGAGAACAGTAAAGGGTAATGGACAAAGCCTTATCCCTTTGCTTGAAATAATAGTTGAATCTTACTCACAGAATTGGTTCGTCTTGGTGTATGAATGAAGTAGCAAGTCCGAAAGCAACACCCGAGTCAGAGTCCAAAGGAGAGGACTCTATGAGCAGCAGGATTGAATCGTTGACAATAAAGGAAGATGTGAAGGAGAATGAACATGAGGATGAGGAAGGGCTCCCGATTTATCCATACGAGCGCCTTACAGTAAATGCAGAAGATCCTGTTGCCGAGATTGATGTGACAAAGCGTGAGGTAAAATGAATAGAATCCAAGAAGGAAGACACGTTAGCATGCATTTTAAAGTTAGGCATGGCATTTTGTTGCAAGTGTTGTTACAATGTGTCTTTGATGGCGAACCTTTGCAGACTTACCTATCATCTTCGGAGTTCAAGGACAAATTCGGGATGGGTAAGGATGCATTCTACAAGTTGCCGAAATGGAAACAGAACAAGCTCAAGATGGCACTTCAATTGTTCTGAGCTTGCATGCTCCATTGCATCTGGTTATTTTCGGCTTTGCGTCTCCATAGTGGAGGTTGCAGGTGAGAGAGAGAGAGAGGGAGAGGAGGGATTTGCTTATGCATCATATCTTTATAATGATAATGATAATGATAATGCTTTCTTCTTACGTTCTCCCTTCTGTTCGTTTGGCTGTAGTTGTAGTCTGAGGACTTTGGTTGAGGAAGGGACAGCAATCAATGCATTTTTAGCTGCTTCTGATCCCCCACCCAGCAAGCTCTCTATCTTGTTTGTCGACTGATGGAAGGAAGTTAACGTACAATTTCCCCCCTATACATATTTTTTGGGTTATCCGGTGGTGGGTTGATTTGCTTCTTTAGCTCTTTCTTGATTTATTCGTTTTGGTAATATATTTATATTAGGCAGGTGTTTGGTTTTCCTCTTCTTTAAATTATTATTCTTTTTGGCTGTAATGAGGTCACAACAGATGAACAGAACCAAAGTTTACGTGCGAGCTTTCTTTCGGTTGATTGCGGGGTTGGGGTTCTGGTTTTTTTCTTCTTTCCTATGACCATTTGATTGAAGAAGAAGGAATTGATGTTAGCTTGAGTGAGGTAGCTATAAAATCAGGACAGGAGTCTTTAGTTTCACGTTTCTGGCCAAGTGTATTATTCCATGTCTCAATATATGGGGGATGGAAGTGTGTTTCTCTTTTGTATAGCATAATGTGATAGAAACAGAAAAAGAAAACGCTTTTGTACTATCTCTCTCCACTTTTCTCGGGTATGGCATCGGTTAATATTTCTGTATGGCCTGGACTTTGATCAAAATAAACATTCTAGCCAATCTTTTCAATTTATAACATCCTGGCCCGAACTATACATCAAAATAAACAATTTGGCCAGATACGACTTTTGACCGTTAACTTGGACGGTCAAATGCGTTGACTAATGGTCAACGCGCCATGTCATTGCCAACTGAACAAATTTCAAATTTTTTTAATTTACACCTATTTCCATTTTCTTTCTTTTATCATTTTGAACGAAAAAAATAATAAATTTTCAATTTCGGGACAAAATGCATGCCGCTTACTCTTGTCATTCAACTGGGTTGCCATTTTGGAAGGAGGTTGTCAGCTTAGTGGTGAAGTTGTCATATAAATAAGCTCAACCTCTAATTTGGCAATTGCAAACCATCAAAGGAGTTGAGCTCCCAAAATGTCCAAGTATTACAAGACATTAAACTAACTTATATGTGCCAATGTAGCCACTAAATTTAAATTTCTAATAGTGTTTAGAGGCAAAATAATGAAATGTTGATCTAGTTGAGTGAGTGTACGTAGTAATTTAGTTGTTTCAAAATTTGAGTTTGGTGTCTAGTGTTTTTTGTTGTTGTTGTGATAAACAGAGCGCACAGAGGCGCTCTAACACTTAATTATTAACCGATCGCGGGGTTTGAACCCCAATTGAGTCAAAGTACAACCAATAGCACAAGCTAGGACTCAGGTTCTCAACTAAGTGCACTCCCACCAGAAGAGAGTGGGCTACTAATGCCAAGTGATTCGCTACAAAGTTAGCTTCTCTGAAAACATGGCCGAGCGAACCTCCCAATCTCTCGCTAGCAGTCGCCGGATATAGGAAACCATCGTGTGATGAGGATGCGAAGTGTCCACCGCTTGGATGAGCGTAAGTGCTGTCGAAGAAAACCAATTTGATTTTTTTTTTTTGGTGAGAGAAAACCAATTTGATAACCAAAAAGAATTAGGTTGTGATGAGTGATGACGGGAAAAAAATTAGATGCAATAATGACAGCTGGAGTTTACTTTTCAAGCCCAAGATTACTGATGAGATTTTACGCAAAAACAAAAGAAGAGTCATTATGAATTCGAAATTCCCGTAAAGTATGTGCGGGTAGTTACGTAATCACGCGCTTCCTCTCTTCTTTGATTACCGGGAAGCAAAAGAAGAAAACGAAAATAAGAGCTGCGGAGAAACAGAAAGAGTAGTTTCTAATTCACCGCGACGGAGACGAGGAGAATAGGGACGGAAATGGTGAATTGACGCTGGCACGGGCTTGCTCTAGAGATTCATTCTCGTCAACCGCGCCAAGACCAACCGGAGGAGAAGCAGTGCCTTGCTGAGTGTAGAAGACTGTTCTCGCCTTCTCTAGTCATGGCTGCGGCAGGTGGCGACAAGTTACCCGTGGAGGTGTGCAAAGGCTTCAGCGGCCTCGACAGGGTAGTGCTCCGAGAAGCTCGTGGGAGTTCTGCCGAGGTAACTGCAATCTGTTTGTCATTTCTCACGCTGCTCTTCCACTGATCTCAATCGCGGTTTACGTCCATAGTATCTTTGTAAATGCGATCTGATTGTTTCCTTTCCTTGATCCGCTTTCGGTTTTGCCTTGTCTTTAGTCCAGATCTCTTCGATATAGCTTGAAAAGGTCATGCCTATGATTCTGAAGTCCGATTTAGTGGAAGTCTGGTTTAGGCCTTGTTGGTTTCTTGCCTTGATTAGGGGCAATGTGATGACCAGGTTTAGAATGTAGATTTTCCATTGGATCCAGTTCCAAGCTAATCTTACTGGCTTTTGAATCTTTTGATGGGTTGATTTTAGTTTAGTTGATGTAGTTGATGAACTCGTTGAAGTGTCTTTCATGAATTTTACTTACTCTGAAGGATTTGGAATGTGACCGTAAGACTTGTCTGTGAGCTGTTACACCGGGCAGTGGCCCCTCGGATGGTTTCTGGGTGCTTAAGCTTGTAAGTTGGCATAAGATGATGGTACTGAAGCTGTGATTTCTGGCTGCACAGGTGGAATGACAAGTTTAGCTTGAGGGAAAACTGGTTGTTGGGCCTTTAAATGTTTGGATCGTCTTGTGTATCCTGGATGAGATGATCCTTCATGTCTTATGGTCTATCAATTCGTCTATATGACCTTTCATTGTCATCTGATAAGTCATATTCTCACGCATAAGTTGGGAATTGGTGTTTCTTAGGAATATAAAGACTTTCAAAATTAGGACTTTTATTGTACTGATGTAGAGCCTTTTGATGCTGTTTGGGTTGTCTTTGAGGCCGGGAAATGCAAATTTATACCTTCTGTTTTCTTTCACTGCATGTTTGAGTTTCTTTTGACAGCCATAGGGTGCTCTTCTTTGTTGCTGATTCTCCTTCTTTGACATTGTTGGTGGTGATCTGTGCGAGTTATTTCTAGTTTTTCTTTCTCTTGAACTCAAGTTTGCGAATCTTTGCAATTGTTTATTTCGACTCTCCAGGTGTACTTGTATGGCGGTCATGTAACTTCATGGAAAAATGACCATGGGGAGGAGTTGCTCTTCGTAAGCAGTAAGGTCATACAAAATCCCTTGTCCTTTATCTTAACCAATTGAAATTCCAACTGGAAGCATATTCTTCAGAGAACAGAGATCAATGTTGCTGTTGTTTTTTAGCTGTCTGTGTTTTTGTTAGGGTTCATAGTCTTTATCTATATCTTTTTAGACTTTTGATCTTATAAGCATGTACTCAGTATTCACTGGCTTATTGTATTGCGTCTTCAGGCCGCATTCAAACCTCCAAAGCCTATTCGTGGTGGCATTCCTATATGCTTTCCTCAAGTATGTGCTTTCTGCAACACTTGAGTTTCTACCCTGTTTCAACTTCATTTCCCCTCATGAGAGTTTGTTTTAATGAACCACAGTTTGCAAGCCATGGTGGTCTTGAGTCGCATGGTTTTGCTAGGAACAGGGTCTGGAGCATCGAGTCTGATCCACCTCCATTTCCAACAAATTCTGCCAGTAAGGCTCATGTTGATCTGATTCTCAAGCCAACTGAAGAAGATCTGAAGATTTGGCCTCACAGGTGAGATATTTGCTAACAAATGATATGTCAGCAGGGTTAGCTAGTATCTGGTGATCCAACAAAATAAGAAAAAGTGAAGGGAACTAATATCGTTTTAGAGTAGAAGTATTGCCACAGTTATGGATGGTGAACAGGAAAATCCAGAAGCATCGTACTTAACCATTCTTCTCTTTTGGTTTTTAGCTTTGAGTTCCGTTTGAGGGTAGCTTTGGGCCCTGGTGGAGATCTGTTATTGACATCTCGTGTCAGGAATACCAGCACAGATGGAAAGCCTTTCTCATTCACTTTCGCGTATCATACTTACTTTGCTGTATCAGATATAAGGTAATTGAACATGTGTTATTCTTGAAACTCTTACCTCTGTTTTATTGGATATGTTAGAATCCATGAATTTCCTTGTAACAAATATTCCTTCACGGTAATTCTTCTTTGAAGCTTGTGTTCTGACTATCACTGGGGTAGCTTAATTGGTCAGGTTGTTGGCATTTATTTATGAATATTATCGGCCATATGATCTTGTTTATTACACAATTGGTTAGGGCCTTAGGGGGTTGTGGTTTACATTACAAAGAATTGTTATGAAGAAGGCTGTAATGCTGTCGTTAAAACTCTTGTTGCGCTGAATTAGATGAAGGAATGTTGTCCATCATACTCTCTCCTTGAAAAGTGATTCTAGTACTAAGACTAGTTTGCACTTTGCACGTGTAATGCATGTTCACATATTGGGCTGCTGTAAAAGTTCTCTCTTGTCACTGTAGCAATGTCTTCTCATGCATATTCTTTATGCATCAGAGTGGTCAGGCTGCACATATCTCCGCTACACTGGAATTTGCTATCAGTGTGCTTCAAATGAATTGTTCCTCTAGAATGTTTTTCATGAGAATTTACCTCCATATATAGTGTGCAAATTAGACAACTTCTCTAATCTGTATAACTGAGAAGATAATTGGGGTGCATTTTTCTTGATACTCCACTTTTCCATCTGCAAGCCGTTCTTGCGTTGTTTCAGATGACACATATTTTTGCCTATGTATAGTGAAGTTCGGGTGGAAGGTCTGGAGACACATGATTATCTTGACAACCTACAGAGCAAGGAGCGTTTTACAGAACAGGGAGATGCTATAACTTTTGAATCTGAAGTGAGTTGCACCTTTGGTGTTTGAATGATTTCTCTTTGAGTGATAGTGTGTCCTTATTCTAAACCTCTCATGACCCATATATAGATTGACAAGATCTACCTCAGCACCCCTACCAAGATTGCGATTCTGGATCATGAAAAGAAGAGGACATTTGTGGTGCGCAAAGATGGGCTCCCAGATGCTGGTTAGTTAGAACCTCATGAACTCATGGTTAGCTTAAGAAAATTCCAACCACTTTGCCTTCCCTCCCTTGCAGAGTAAATGTTATTGGAGATGATGAGCTAGTCTAAAGTTATGTAAATTGGTAATGAGTGTCTGCACTTTTGTGTGTGTGGCAGTTGTGTGGAATCCATGGGACAAAAGGGCAAAGGCGATTGCGGATCTTGGGGATGAGGAGTACAAGCACATGCTGTGCGTAGAAGCTGCAGCTGTGGAGAAGCCCATCACACTAAAGCCAGGGGAGGAGTGGAAAGGGAGACTGGAACTATCTGCAGTTCCTTCCAGTTACTGTAGTGGGCAACTTGATCCGCAGAAGGTTCTCCAGAGCAGCTGAAGCTTTTCCCCCTTTTCTTTTTGGTCCAATTTCAGTTTCTTATAATGAGGGCTATATTAGTTTCTGCTAAAATTCTGTACAGCTAAAGACTGCTGCCGCTGTACCTCTCCAAAAATTTCCTGGGGCTAATGCGTTTTGGTACCCTAGATCGCTCGCGTTTTGTATCGAGTATGACTTTTCATTGGAACGTGAAACTGTTCTTCGCATATATCAAAGGAAGGGTGTAGTGAAATGACAGAACGGGAATGCTAAGTAGAATAGTTGTGGGGAGTCGTGGTTGCATTGCAATGACCGTTGGAGCGAAACCGCTGCAAGAGAAGGCGGACCACAACTTTAAACCACCGGATGGCTTGTCTGTGGCTCAGTAACCATTGATTAATGGTTACTGATTAATGGTTACTAACTTATAAGTAAATAAATTTGGACCTTTAAATTTAAGTGAGTCTAGAAAATTCAGATCTAAAGGTTGTCAATTAAAGGCATTTTATTTTCACTAATTTTCTTAATTGGCTTTTATCTTCTTCGTTCTAACTCGGATTTCAATTTCTTTTGCACAGATGGAACGAGTTCGTTGTGCTCTACAAAATGAGATCAATTTTCAATATATTTCGAGAAACATTTTTTTACCAACTACATACCATATGGTAACTTTTTCATTTTTAAGTCGTTTTTTAAAACATTTGCTCAGAAGGAACGAGTTCATCATATGATCTAAAGGGGAAAAGATAAAAGACTTTCCAGGAGAGAGAGGATACTGATGTCATGCTGATGTGGATAGGTTACTCAGGGTTATTGACCTTAGCGTTACTGACCTGATCTGTTCCCCTTGCTTGTGGCCTCACTCGTTCAACCGAGCAAGAAGTTGAAATCCACATCTAGCGAAGGGTTTTCGGGTATAGGTAATATGGACATCTTTGTTGTCACTGTCAGAGTGCAAGATGAAGATTTTGCAATGGAGTTCTCGAATCAGGCAGGTTTAGGGGAGATTGAAACTACACCAAAAAAATCGGGAGTTAAGTCGCCAAGAGCATCCTATAAGGACTCCTTTTTGGGGAATGGATCACAAACCCGCATCTTAGAGGGGGGCGGACTGATGTTCGATGAGTAGGAAGGCGAGGATGGAGGAGACGAACCAGAGTGTCCAACAATCAGAACAAAAAAAAAACAACGTACAAATGTCAAAAACCAACACAAGTGTAATCGAGCGGTCACTTTTAGAGTCCTTGTGAAGCAATTTCCTTTTGCTTTCATCCATCAACAAGTGCAAAAAATGTGGGCGAAGATGAGATGAGAAGAGTCAAAATTGGGGATATTGGCAATGGGTATTGCCAACAAGTGTTAGACTCCCAGCTTGACTACAACATAGCTCTATACGGAGAGTCGTAGACGATCGATGATCACTACATCGCTTCCAAGCCTTGGAGGTTGTATTTTTACCCGGATTCTTACACCATCCACAAGAGCTCGGTCTAGGTCAGACTATCATGACTTGACTGCCACTCGCGTACTTTGACGAGGAGCTTCTAATTTCTAAGAGACATTGGGAGCAAGCTCGGCAAGGTTAAGAAAATTGATAACCAGACATCTAGTGGGGTTAGAGGCAATTGCACCCCAATTTGTGCGTAAATCGATCTCAGGAAGAGGGTATAGGTTAAAAAGAAGGGTTCAGAGGGTTGAATATGAGGGACTCCATACTGTGTGCTTCCATTATGAACACTATGGCTAGCTTGAGTTAAACTGCCCAAGAATCAACGTTAATGAACCGTTGTCCCCAGAAGAGAGAGTGAAGGAGAGTGTGGCACGACAAGCGAGCCGAGAGATTCGATCGAAAGTTATTGAAGACTATGGACCTTGGATGTTTGCAACATGACCTAGAAGAAAGAAGCAATCTCCTAGAAGCAGGGATGTTAAGGGAGAGGGTAAAGACGAAGAGACAATGAAAGTCAGCATTGATACTGGATCTCGATTTGCAGCTCTGGAAGATGAAGAAGAAAAAGAAGAGACTGGAGTTGCTGCAGTTAATCTTTAGGAAGAAACCTCACTATCAGAGGAGAAGGTTCCTACCAAAAATACCAGTATAGTTGATAAGACAAAGCACACAAAAGAGTAGCGCAATTGTTGTCTTGGAGTCAAGTTGCTACTCCACCCGGCGGTGTCTTGTGTACCAAGCTACTCAAGGCCCTTGAGTGCCCCCAAATTTCTGCTTTGGTAAGATGAATGATGAAATCATAAAAGATTTTTTGGCTGATTGCATTGAGAGTGACCTTAATAGTTTGAATGATTAATGTATTTTCATTACTTTTTAAATTATAAAAATATGTTGTGGATCATTGTAAAATATTATTATGTTTTATCTTTCGATCTCTTCCATTTTTTCCCACCTACCACCACAATAATCATGCAATTAAGAAGCAGAAAGAAGACCTCATCGTTACAATATACAAAGGAAAGATGCTTCATTTTTCTCTTATGATAATATGTAACAAACCAAAAAAAAAAAAAAAAAAACAAGGCAGGAACTAATAGGCCTAACCAACTACTCTTTCCCACATAGGAACCCCATAAACTTAAATAAAGAGACCCATTTCTTCAATACAATCTCTGGTCTTACGGACGTAATATAATGCAAAAGGAAACATGTTTGTTTTCTGTCTTCGTTCTTATTACGGGGTTATGTCATTCTTCGTTTTCCTCCTGTCATAAACAAACTACAAATGCTTATGCTTATCTGGCTGCCGCAGCGCTCACCGCCTATGTCTCTACCTTTTTCCCCCTTTCCCGTCCGACGATTGATTTGCTGACCCGGTAATTACACGGTGTAATGCTGTTGGATGGTGTCAATATCCAACCCCTTAAGCTTAACAACCGACTCCACGTGTCCCTTCAGCGTCAGCAGCTCCCTAAGCCTGTTTTGTCCCATTATCAAACGCCAACCGATTACACACCTACAGTACTGCATAAATAACAGGAGAACCCAACCACTTGCTAATAGTAAATCGATTGATTACCTGGCAACCTCAGCTCTCCTCTTGGCCTGCTCTGCAATCTCCGTCAGTTCTCGGTAGCTGCTCTTATCGTTAAAGATACCGCCGGAGCTCTCTGGCGGCGGCTGAAGCCCGTGAAGTGTTCTTTGAGCTAGTGCCCATTGCGCTTCCCTCTCTTCCTTTCCGTAATCCTTCTTCGTCGTGAACGCCGTCTGGTTTCCCATCACCAAATAACAAAACCAATAAATATTTATCCATACATTCATTAAATATGCAAAAACAAATTACACGACGAGGTAAACCCAGGCAGTTAGTTAATTAGGTCGTTGTTACCTTGTTCTCTAGCATGTTGGTCCAGGCCTTCCCACTCAAGATGTAACGGATGGCGAACTTCATTATGTCCAGCGGGAAATAGAACACAATGCTGTATAGCCACACCACGCCGGCCCATCCCCACCCTATTCCCTTAATCCTCGCGAAACTCCAGTTTGCATACACTGCCAGCACAGTTGCGACCTGCAAAGGCCGGGAAACAAACAGCAATAGTATTATTTACATATGTGTAACTATCAACTGTCATTTGGCAATGTGACAGGTGTTCACTCTAAATCTCAGAATCCCAAAGACTGAGGGACTTACCAGTTGGGCAAGGGCGAAAGCGATCATCAGGAGCCAACCAGGGCGTTCGACAAACGACCAGCTGCGTGACCTGGTTACGAAGATCAGTGCCTGGCTCACTATACTGACTTGAAGATACAGCGCACTCATCATCTCATGTTCGCTGTCCCTGATCGACTTCACTCCAAATTTGTCCTGCATTGTCCAATTTAATGCATTCTTGTGAATTCTGTTTGTACCGAAAGATTCAGATGACAATCTGATGTATATAACAATTCTCATGTCTTACGGAGAAGAAATCCGTTTTATGCATCGCCCAGAAGAATATGACAGTCATCAATGCCATGTAGCCACCTAGCACCACTCCCGTTGCAAAGATTTCCTTCAACTTCCAGCTATCCGGCAGAGGGGATGGCTTCACTCTGTCCTTAGAGATTGTCATTATCGTACCTGCACGTGTACAAAGACAAAAATAATTACTTTGTCAATTAGATTATGGTACTGCAGCACTACTCAGGCTCAGTTGAAAAACTAACCATCGTTGAGGATGGCAATGATCAGGACCATGAAAGGTGAGAAATCAAACTTCCAGATCAGAGCAATAAGCATGAAACCAAACTGCAAAAGGAGTAACAAGTTAGGATCAACAAACCTTTATTTCGCCACATAAGTTTTTAGTGTCTGTACAACCATCTACTTACCACTATACGAATAGTAATGGAGACTGCGTAAATCTGCAACAAGAGAAATGGGTTGGAAGAAAGTCGTTAGTTTGAATATCACAAAACATAAAAGATCAATTAAGTCCTTGTATATTGCAGGGGGGGACGGTTGATAGATTATTTCTTCGTCTTTTTTGTGGATAACTTACAGAATCCGGTAACGAGGCCCCAAAATATCAAAATCCTTTGACGTTAATTCTTGATACCTAATATGCAAGAGTAGGTGTAGTAGTAGAGGGATTATGTCGCCTAACCAAAGTTATCGACTAAACTATAGAGTTTTTAGTGTACAAGTAATTTTCAGCGATATAGTTGTTAGTTTCAACCCATAACCAATTTGATAAATGGTAATTAAGGGATCTTGTCCACTCATGATTTACCTTGAGAAACTTCTCATGTGGTCAACTTTCATCCTATTACTATTATTTTGAATATCAGTAAACATAGAGGTCGAAAGAGAAGTGGAGTGTGTTTTAGGACCAGCGCAAACTTACAGTGTAGTTTTTCATCCTCTGGAAAATAGCTCTGCTAGTCAGAACTGCACTAATAATAACGCTCAAACCAGGCTCCGTAAGAACAATGTCGGAAGCACTTCGTGCAGCATCTGTAGCATCGGCAACGGCTATACCAATGTCAGCCTTCTTCAAAGCAGGAGCATCGTTGACACCATCACCAGTCATCCCAACAATGTGCTTCCTTTCTTGCAGCTTCTTCACAATTTCATATTTGTGCTCTGGAGATGAACAAAGATAACCAGTGGTCAGGGAAAAATAATTAAATAAATAAAAAATGCAGTAGCTAATAAACAAGTGACCCCACTCACCTGGGAAAACCCCAGCAAATCCATCAGCCTTCTCGATCAGCTCTTCAACAGGAATAGCAGCAATGTTTGAGTCCTTATCCTGACCAAGCAGGGCAGCAGATGGATACATATTTGTTCCCATTCCCAGTCTTCGTCCAGTTTCTTTGCCAATAGCAAGTTGATCACCTAGAATCATAATGGAAAAAGGTGTAGAAACGGTCAGCAACAATTACTTTGCACTAGAAGTCAGTTTTCAATGGAGGGAGAGAAACTAGTTAAACTTACCAGTGATCATCTTGACATTCACGCCAAGCTGAAGAGCACGGCGGATTGTTTCAGCACTGTCGTGTCTAGGAGGATCAAAGAGATTCAACAAGCCAACAAACTCCCAGGGACCACCAGGGCTTTCCTTTGTTTTCTCTGGCACCTCCTGCCTCGCAACACCCAGCGACCGAAGCCCACGTTCAGCAAATTTCTCAATAACAGAGTGGACTTTCCTCCTCAGATCTTGACTTGAGTGGCACAGCTCCAGGATCTAATAACATTCATGAAGGATTTAGTTAACGTCAAGAGTCAAAAGCGGAAGGACAAGAAGAAAAAAGGAAGCACCATGTTACCTGCTCAGGAGCTCCTTTACTTGCACGGTACCATTTTCCATCAGACTCGTTGATGTAAGTGAGAGCAGTTCTTTTGTCCACGGGATTAAATGGAAGGAAATGGACTTCTCGAATACCAGCTCTTGCCTGCAGAATAATATAGTAATTACATGTATAAGTCAAACATTCATTCAGTGCGGCATCTCTTTCACAGTAGTGATGGGAAATTATTTTACCTCCTTAGGGTCAGCAAGCATGTTAACCATGCAAGCATCAATAGCATCCTGATTCTCAACCCTAGAAGCCCTGGCAGCAGTCAGTATGACATATTCCTTGTCCACACCTTTAATAAACACCTCAATCAAGTTCTTGTCGATGCTGAGCTTGTTGAGGGTCAAGGTTCCAGTTTTGTCACTGCACAGAACATCCATGCCAGCCATTTCCTCAATGGCAGTCATACGCTTGGTAATAGCTCCTTGCTGAGAAAGCTTGTGGGATCCAATAGCCATTGTCACAGATAAGACCGTGGGCATAGCGATAGGGATACCTCCGATCAAGAGAACAAGGAGATTATCGATTCCCTGCCTGTACGGGCGGTGTTGAATTGGGTACATGACAATGATCTCGATGACTATTCCAATTGCTATGGAACAGATACAGAAGTTCCCAATAGCAGTTAGAACTTGCTGGAAGTGCCCAACTTGATTGGTACTGTCCACCAGATGTGCAGCCTTCCCAAAGAATGTGTGGACCCCAGTTGCAATAACAACAGCCTCGAGCTCTCCTTGTTTACAAGTTGAGCCAGAGAAAACCTCATCACCTGGGTGCCTAGTTACAGGGAGTGATTCTCCTGTGAGGGCTGATTGATCGATCTTTAATGGATCACCTTCAAGAAGGCGGGCATCAGCAGGGACGATGTCACCCAACTTGATACTAATGATGTCTCCTGGAACAAGGACTGCTGCATCCTGTTCACTCCATTTACCATCTCTAAGAACCTACATCCACAACAAGACATAAATTTACCGGAAGAGTCAACAAGGGTACTCATTGCATCAACTAACCATCATAACCAAAAAATCATATGATTAAACAATTTACCTTAGTCTTAGGGGCAAGACCAGCCATTAGAGCAGCAGCGGCATTACCGGCATTGTTTTCCTCGATGAAACTAATGGTGGAGTTAATAACTAGCAAGCAGATAATACCAACAAAGTCTTGCCAATCCGGTGGCTTTCCACCGCCGTTTGCCAGGGCAATAGCCATGATGGCAGCAGCTTCCATAACCCATGACAGAGGATTCCACATGAATCCCAAGAACTTGAGAATCTTGCTCTCCTGTTCAAAGAAATGAAATGCTAACCCATGAATATCTTTTACCTCAGTGGGAAGTGACGGAAAACTATGGCACAAACAAACAAATTAAGATGTAGAGCAGACCTTTTTCTCTTCGAGCTTGTTGGGGCCAAAGATCTGGAGCCTGTTGGCCCCTTCCTCGGAGGACAATCCTTCTCGGGAACATTTCAGTTGCTCAAACACCTCCTCGAGAGGGATCTTTTCCTGTTAATATCCAAAGAAAAACAATTGTGAGCAGACAGAGCACGTCAGAGAACCCAAACTTGATAACCTAATTGCATCATGGGGAACCCCGAGCCAGACATGTATTTGCATCCAAACATATATGTACTTCCATAATAGCAATCCTGATCAAGGTAGCAATTGATTGGTCCTTCAGAGCACTAAATAAATGTATAAACATAAATAACAGATATTCTAATTACAGAGTGGCCAGCATGTAGACTTGTTGGGTCAACCAGCTAAGTTAGGCTACATCAACTAAGGAATGAATCCTTTCATGGGTTAGGGTAAGCCAGTTAATTAAGGGAAACGGAGCCAACAAAACATGTTTTGGGGTTGAAAAAGACGAGGCATAGCAGAAAAGTTTGATGTGATTTAGACTGATCATGTTTTGATCTCATTTACTTTTCTTAATTATATTTCTCGTTACGCACAAATGGCTGCTTCTCCAAACTCCCTAATCCCATTTCTGTCAAAAGTACGGCAGTACTTGCTGAATAAACCAACCAACTGGGAGCAGGCCGGCGGGGAAAAAACAAGAAAATTTTGGCGTTGACCCGTGAGTAGTGGCGCTGGCTGTGGGTGGGGCCATCGGCCCAACGAACAACAACCCCTCATTTTTCATTTATTCCGATTTGTTGTTTTGTGAGCATGTGCTTGGTCCGTTATAGCAAGTTAGCAACAAAGAAAAAAGCCACATGCCCTCACGCCACCACCGCACCAGAAAGACCGATGGTGGTGGTGGTGGTGGTGGAAGACCTCTCGAAATCCAAGATAAAACTGATGAGATGAAATAACCAAAACGATTAATAAATCGTGGTAGAATAGTCAAATCTAATCGTCGTACTCCATTACTCTCCCGTCCATCGCATGAAACCAGAGAGAAACATGAAGAAATTGATTGAATACGCCTGTTACAAACTAATATAGAAGGAAAAGGGGAAAATGGAATGGTGATTAACACTGACGAACCAGAAATGGTTGGCAGGGTTTCCTTTCTCTTCCTACCTTTCTTTAATCTTCTTGTGCCCGTAATATTCTTAAAAAGAGGGTACCACGGAAAAAGAAGGGGAAAGTTTGGTGCGGCATGGCATGGTATGGGATTCCCCTGCTACTGGGCCCTGTGCTGATCGTTGACTGCTCCTCTTCCCGTCTCTTCCCCTCTCTTTTTCGTCACTACTCCTCGCCGTAAACAGAAAAAAATAATAATACCAAACGCAACTCGCATCGCCGATTGAATTGGGAACAAACACACAAAAACCGACAAAAAAAATTCCAGCAACCACTGAATCACTTTTACTACCCTATTCGTTTTCTACCAGAGATTGCAGATGTAATTACGTGCTAACAAAACGGAAGACGAAAAGGAATTTGCGGGCCAAAATAGCACGCGGAAATTTAGGCAGCGAGATCAGGTTTAACTCGCAACTCTCGGCTCGCCGAATAAAATTGAACCGCTCAAAACTAGAGAAACACGTACGTACAGAAGAATTGAATAACAAGACGCAATCACATAGATCTCGGACGGTAGACATATTTGTGCGGGGAAAAAAGTAGGGAGGGGGCCGATTTGATTACCAGATCCACGGTCTCGTTCTTGATTTCCTCCAGGCTGATGTTCTTCGCCATCTTCGCCCTAATTAGGAGCGAGAAGCGGCGCTAGGAGTGTTATCGGAGAGGAGCAGAGGGAGTTGGGAGGGGGGATGAAGCTGCAGCAGCAGGTGGATTCAGTGAGCAAGGTAAGAGTTGTTAATGAGCCATATATATATGGATAAGGGGAAGAGAAGGCAGGGCAGACCTCAAACTTGTCAATGAAAACGCCCAGTACAGAGAGGACTCAGTGGAGGCCGCGCAGCCAGAGCCAGAGCAGCGCTAGGAAGAGAGCTAATCAGAGTCTTATGAGATAGGAGGACCCGCTTTCCGGCGCCTCTACGCCTCTCCTTTTATATATCTTTTGAGAAGAAAAATAAGAAGAAAAAAAAAAGAGACCCTCGCCCCCTTTTACCCAATAATATGCCTTCTCTAGTATTATTTTTTTTCAGAAAATTCTTTCTTTCTTGCGTTTTCCTTTTCTTTTTTTATCAGTGGCAAAAGGTTAATTAATTACCGGATACAACCGCTCCCGAATAGATAAATAATGCTCTGGCTACTATACTTGGTCAGAAGTCAGAACAGAATACATGGAAAAATATTACAAATACAAGAAAGAGAAAGAAGCAGAGGTGGTGGAGACTGGGCCAGGTCCAGGTCCACTAGGAGGCCGGCCCTCGCGGGGTGTGCCTGCAAGTGTAATGCTGATCAAAATGATGATGAAGAAGAAAGAGCAAACACCCTTCCAGTGGGCCCTAAACCGTAAATGACTACTGATTTTTCATATATTTACTTAATTAATTAATACTATTCTTATAGAATTAATCTTCTTAACTTACTCACACCAAAAAAAATAATCTTCTTAACTTACCCATATGTTTCAACATCCCTAAATCCCGCTCCTGATTTACTGTTTTGGTAAACCAATAATAGTATTACTATACACTCTTACCGCAAAGTCAAAAGTATAATCACCAATTCCTAATTTAATCCATCCATTCTTCACCCCTCTTTCTTTGTTTCTTCCTCTTTTCCTTTTTCGTTTATTGGTACATGTCCCCTCTCACTTGTTAGAGAAATGCAAGTGAAACTCATCAAACAAGTATTTTAATATCTATATCGATTTGTTGTTGAAGTACGAATTAAACTTCATCTAATTCAAGATATGAGTTGGATAATTTGTAGTCATTATGATATTTGATTCAAGATTAAATCATATAAGAGTTTTATTTTTTTTAATCGATTGATTGCCTAAAATACAAATCTAGTCTGTGCCGACAAGAAACTACCTTGATGCATGTAAATGTGATGGGGAGAGGTATATAAAATAGGGTGATAAATGTTGTGTCGTTAACAGTTTAAATGTTAACCACATTGGTAACCGACTGTTAATGGTGAAACCGTTAATCACTAAGGAGAATGCGAGTAGTTTAGCGGAAGCTCAAAACTCCTTATTGGAATACCAAGTCACAAATGGTTAATAACGTACTGTTAGCGATTAATGATCGGTTGCTATTGCGCGATCGAGCTTTAAATTTATAAGTTAATGCACACTCTATATTCAATCCTAACTAAGCCAAGTATAACCTGGATATGGTTGTAATAAAGTGGCTCAGTCGTATTCCATGGGATCCCTAAGTTTATTATTACTTTGCTCCGAACTACTATATAATCGGGTCGAAAGTTTGATGAGGGTTTTGAACTAATTTAACCTACTCCTAAACAAGAAACCAAGTGATCGGGAGACCGCTAGAGGTGAGATGGTTGCCTAAGGTCAAATCCTCCTAGCTATGGTTGTCAAGTAGGGTCAATCGAATAGGGTGAGTGAGCTCTTTTCTGTGGGCTTTCGTGGTTATCCACACGCCACCAAGAACGCCTCCCCTAAACCCATATATAGTCACCTCGATCTAGACTATCGTATCTGTGGCATTATGCTCATGGCTTCTTTCAATGGACACTATCCACCGTCCACACCGAGGTTTCATTTGCAGTTCTTTCTAGGAAGGTTACCTATAGCAAGGGTTCGGTCGCCTCGACCACTATAGGACCCCATTCATACATCTATCTCGATTGGCTTGATGACGTATACCCGTCTAACCCTATAACTCCATACCTAGCGTAGAAGCATAAAGTAGGCTAATAGAGTAGATTAGTGCGACTTACCCAAACACAATCAAGGATAGAATGACATTCAAATCAACTAGTCAGACACATTCATACATAACCCATTCATACACAACCTATAAACTCGGGTTCATCTTCCATAAACAATCATTAGAGATTCAAGTCATTAGAGAGAGGAAGAAAACACAAACTAGAAGAGGGGAATGATAGAATCAAGCTTGTTCTCCTTGCTTGCACCTTCTCCTTGCTCCTTGGGTTGATTGGAATGATACAACAAACACCACATATTGTCATAATGCTTAATCCAAATATACCAATGCTCCAGGCATTGGAATGCATAAAGTGAGATACTTAAGTCCAATGTTCATAACGTGATATAAGATGGAAAATCTAAGACACGGATATGATTAGTATTTCTCGGTCAATACCAGACTGCCATGCAAAACATTTACCAGTTGGGCAGGAATTTAGTCACAAAATCACATAAATCCAAACTCAACATCCTCATGACAAAAAAATGGTCAGTGGTTACCATGGTTGTTGGGTGAAGGCCGTATATGATGATGGTGCTTGCGCTTCCATTGCACCCAATGTGTCACCGTGATAAGACCCATTAAGAGCTAATACCTGCCACAAAGCAAAATGGAAGAGTGATTAAAAAACTACATTTCCCAAACTGAGGTGTGCACAAATTCACATGAACCAAACATATGCAGAAAACTAAAATGGAAGCAACATTAAGTAGACCTACCTTCAGCTCAAAGCATCTCTCAACAGTGTTGCTCCTGCCAGAAAGCACATCATTTTCATTATAGAATTTTCGGAATGCCATTTTGAGGGCAATTTCAATCGCGGTTGACCCATTATCAGAAAAGTAACTCCTGGAAGCCCAACCTGCAGCACATGCAATGCTAGTGATCACTCACCAGGAATAAGAACCAAGAATCTGTACTGGAAATAGAGGATAGACAGAGGAAAAGGGCAAGACAGAAACTGCGACAAGAAAGGACATGATCCACAAATTTGGCTGGCTTGATCAAGAGCGGTCTGTTTCAAATGAGCTAAGGGACAAGGCTTTAGGTCTATCTTTAGCAATATAACGCTGCTTAAACTATTTCTTATTCCCATAAAACATCACAAGAATATAAACCAAGGGGTTGACCATGTGGGAATGAGGTGGATAAAAATATCAAATCACTTATAAAATGTAAAAATAAAAGTCATAAGCAAGGAACCATGACATGAAGTGGGAATAAAAAATATGGCTAGTTTAAGAGACCAGGATTCTAAAACTTGGTTGACAAACATATGAAGCTTACAACGAAAAAACTTGAACATGATAGAAGTATTATCTGTCTACTGTATAATGTGGGGCGACATCAAAATCAACGAGCGGAAAGAATGGTTAACCTTTGCCTACACCCATGAGCAGAAGTTCTGCACATTCTAATACTGGTTCATAAACATTCTCTGCTAACATAACATGATATGACCAAATCGCCCAGCAGCATAGCCCAATTCTCTTGCAAGCTCAATCTGAAATAACCTAGACAAGTAACCACATTAAAGAACTCAGGCATTTTATGACCATAATGGTAACCCAGTGACAAGCAAACGGCAATATCCCAGGTAAGAAGAACAACATGGAATTGGGCCAGCTAGGAATAAATGGCTCCAAGCAGCCTAGGGTCCGCTGCACAATAGGAAAGTGAACCTACAATACTTTTATCATACACAAAGATCCTCACGCAAGTTCGTCCCTTTCAAGCACAAAGCATGACAATGAGGATGAAAGGTAATAAAAGGCAAGTTAACAGTTCGAAACTTATATGAAATTGGCAATGTAGTAACATGTTGATGCTGAACACCACAAAACATCAATCTGAACTTGGAAAAGAGAAGGTTGCAGGCAACAGAAATTACCTGTAGAGCAGTATCAGGCCCTTGAGTCCACCAGCTAGCACATGCATCAAATTGCTGAGTTATTGATTCACTCTTTCTATTCTACAATCAAATTGAAGATATAATAGAAAAACAGATTCAGCTAGCCAAACCTAATAATTAATAATAACAGAAATGAAAGGAGCGCCACACATAGAGTAACCCTACTGGTTGCTGTTACTTGAGGATATTCAAGTAAACTTGCTGGAGACTGCTATGTTTGTCTATCCTAAGTAGCTTCCACGCCAAGAATAGTCATTCCTAATATCACTTGCTTTCACCATTATTGCAATGATCCGAATCATTTCAAGTCTCAGACAACTTTCCACCAGGAAATCACCATTAAGTAGGGCTGCAAATGAGTCGAGCCGAGTCAAGTTTTACCCCAACTTGAGCTCGGCTCGTTAATAAACGAGCTGAGCCCAGCTCGTTTATTAACGAGCCGAGTTGAGTTCGAGCTAGCTTGTTTACCAAAATCTTTGACTTTTATTTGGTACTTCATTTTGTATATCAACAGAATAATTAGGATATACAAACAGAATAATTAGGCAAAGAATAACAACAGGAACGTCAATTACTGACTATGACCTCAAAGGTCGGCAACCTTTAACATAGTATGGGACCAACAATTCAAGTAACAACCAAACAATTACGATTATGCATATCATTATCCTTTGCGGGGAGAAATAATTTACTAGGTTCAAATATAATCGTTCCACAGTAAAACCTTCCTTTATATCGGAAAGCAGTGACGCAGCACATACCTATACAAATCGCATTGCAAGGTTCCAGACGGACCAGGACTTGCAACACCTCTAGCTGTCTCAACAATACAGAAGTCCTGTTTACTCTCCTTCTGAAACACCCCTTCTCCAGAGAAGCCGTCAAATGCTTCTCCAACAGTAAGGAATCCGGCACCGCACAATTCTCTCTTTCTGCGGCCAAGTGCGGGGAAACGGCTTCCTTCCACGCGTATAGCGTCTCACACACTAACTCGGCAGAACCGGTACCCGAGGTCCATAGCAATTAGCTTTCCTCTCGGAAGTTCAAATCGCAGAAGGCAGGAATTTGGTCCCCGGTCAGAGAATTTCGGCCAGAGAGAGCATTAGCAGCGGGAAGAGAGGATTTAATAACAGAATTGGAGGCGGATAGGGAGAGAGAAGGACCTACTGAGCTGCGCCCGAGGGAGCACAGTCTAGAGAAAACGAATTGGGATTCGGAGTCCGCCGGGAATCCAGTCTGAACGGGTTTGAGATAGAGGAGCTTCCGATGCTCTGCGGGAGAGGGGCAGGAGAGAAGGAAGGAGGAAGCTAGACCAGTGGAGACGAGTGCTTTGCCGAGGGAGGTGTTGGAAGCCCTGATCATGTAAGTTGGGTGTGAGAGCGGGACGTTTGAGCGATGAGGAGCTAGACAGTAGTCTCCGGTGCCGCCGCGGGCGGCGGCAGAGAGAGGGAACCAAACGGTGACTTAAGGACAAAGAGTGAGCAAGGAAGCATGGCAGGAGAGCAGAAATAGAAACCCTAGAAAGCCGGCCGAAGAAGCATACGATTTACTAGAGGAAGGGAAATGAAAGCAACAGGGACAGGCGGGCAGAGAGTGCCTAAAAGGAGAAGGCACTGGAAACTGATAGGGGACTGAGGTTGTAATAACGGTTTAAGTTATTAAGCCGGTCAATTAAGGGATTTGAAATTTAATGGTTTGATTGGGGTGATGATGGGGTATGGTCGGTTTGAATTATTTTAGACGTTTTCTAAATATATATAAGTTTAGTTTGGCACTGCTGTAACTTCTGTAGAAGTAGCTTCTAGCTGGAGCTTTTAGATAAGTATTTAAAAAAAACAATTGAGTGTTTGGCTGTAAAACTATTAGAAGTGTTTTTTAATATAAGAGGTTGTGTAAAATGACTATAAAAGACTTATAATATAAAATATGAATAAAAATTCTAAACAATAAAAAGTAGTCAAAATGGATCTTGTTAGATTTCTTTTATATTGAATAATATGATTTTATAATTTATTTTATTTTTAATACGATATAAATAAAGGAAAATTATATTTTTTGAAATAAAATTAAAATATGGTAAGGATAATCTTGTATTTTCAAAACAGCTTTTCGCAGAAGCTCCGATTCATAAAATTAAAATATGGTAAGGATAATCTTGTATTTTCAAAATAGCTTTTCGCAGAAACTCCAAATCGGAGCTTCTGCTTTTATGTTATACAAAAGCGCTTTTCAGCTTTTCAAAAACTGAGCTTATACAGGTATTTGGCCCTGCTTCAGTTTTTGAACCCGAAAAGCACTTCTAAAAGCTGGGTCAAACATAGGGATATAAATAAGGTAGTAATTAAAAAATTTAATGATTGAAATGAAATTTATCTTATATATTTATTAAAAACTTATTTTTCACAATTTAAATTTACTTAACTTGCATGATCATCTCCCTTCCTTAGTTCCTTAGTTCCTCTTTCTCTCTTTACCCTCTCTTCATCTCCCTCTTTGGCGATCAAACTGAGAAGCTTCCTTGTAGGGATGGCAATGATGCGAGTTTGGGGCGGGTTTGCCTAAACCATCCCCATCCCCGCTTTCAAATATCTATACCCATACTCGCCTCATACCCATGCGGGGGAAGGTTTTGCAAACCCATCCCCATACCCATGGGTTTCGGGTACCCATGGGTAATACCCGCCCCGTACATCCAACATTATAATATGGAATATTTTACATGTAGACTTTCAATTATAACATTAAACACACCTACTATATCATGACATCGACAAAGAGACAATAATTTTTAATACGATTCAAAGCATCTTATCCTAAAGCATCCATTAATCCATATCATAGTAGAGTACAATGTCATTCAAATCATTATTCTCTATTGTGATACATCTATTAAGTAATAATTAACTAACATAATCTTGTTAACAAGGGGGAAAAGTGAAAGAGTGAAGGGATAATTGAAAGAAATAAATTATATTTTGATTTGGGTGGCCACTCAATTGCATTTCTACTATATATTTTTCATATGTGAAGAAATATTTTTGGTGGGGCGGGTATGGGTATGGGGCGGGGGAGGCTAAAACCATACCCGCCACATACCCCTCAAACTTTTTGCGGGTTTTACCCATACCCGCCCCATACCCGGTCAATGTGGGGATTCTCCGCGTTGACTGGGTCGGGGGCGGTCAGATGCCCGTGGGCATGGATTTGATTGCCATCCCTACTTCCTGGAGATCATTTTGAAGCCTGATTTAGGTAGGACCACATCCAATCAGAGGTCCCATAGGATTTAACAAGGCGGAGCTTTCTAAAGGCAGCAGAAACACAGGCCTTATTGTTTATTAGGGCTTCTGGTCCATAAAACTTAAATGGGCTGTGAAACCAAACTGGACAGCTTCTGCCGAAATGGGCTCGAACCAACGAAGGCGGGAAAGCCTGGAACTCTTATAACAATCACGTAGCAGTGCCATCAGCCCATCACCCTTCCATGAGATACGTGGCTTTCCTCCATTGGTTCCCCGTTGAGATCTTGCATCATTATTCATTAAACATTTTGATGGCCGGGAAAAAAAGAAGAGCAAAATCGAAAAAATAGCCAAAGAGGAAAGAGAAAGAGAAATCGCAGAGACACCTGCGTTTTTCGTCGATCTCCGTCAACCAAGCGGTTGGAGAGAAGGGAAGACGTCCAATTTCTTTTGTTTCAGATAGGCGGGACAGTGCACGTGAATCTTTCGCTCGTCAATGGCGGAACCAGCCGAGACTTCTTCGAGCTCTGATCATACTGCTGCTCATAATTTGACTCACGAAAACCTCAAGCAATATCCGGTAGTTATCCTGTGTTGTGATCCTATAGAGTTCACTGTTTGATCTCTGCGTTGATTCGATGTTCATTTATCAATTTCATGGCATAGGTTTGGCTTTGGTATTCTCGCTGCTGGATTTTATAGATAATAATAGCTATACATATTGTATCTCAGGAACCCAAGTTCTCTGGTTTCCCGGCCTATCCAAATGCTCACCTTCAGATGTTCCCAGTCTTGTTCCCTACAATAGTTCCAGAGGTTACTTCTCTGCCGAACCAGCAACAGATTAATGGCGGGGCTGGAATTTATGCAGTCCCGGTGTCACCATTCAATGGACCGATTGCAGGACTCCCCACGAATACCCTTATTCCTCTTACCTTCTCTATACCAACGTGAGTACGCCACTGTTATAACACCTGATGATCATGCTATTTAATTGGTTTACCTGTAGGAATGTTGTTATGTCTCTGACCTATACTTCTTTCACGACCCAGTCTCTGCACGGCTTCTGAGTCTGAAACAATAATAGTAGAAGTAATGCAATGATGTTGAGAGATATAGCTGATCAATCAACATCCACGGCTTGTGAACATCTTTGTGTATATTTAGATGTTTGAGTTCAAGAAATATTTGAGAAGAACTTGTTCCTTTCTCGCTGTTCGCAAATATAATTACTGGCTTGATGAATTTTGACTGGCTGGGAGGTATTCAGCTTTCTGCTTATGTGTCCGACCTTTTATTTGTAGACTTCAAGCTCCGTGATTCACAAAGCAACAGAGATCTTTTGCAAGGTTTCAACTTTCGAATTTTGAAATGTCTACTCGGTCTAATATGATGTCAAACATAGGTTTTATCTTAGTTATGAATGAATGTTTACCTTAAGACATCTGCGGCCTAAGTAGCAATGATAACTTCTGACCCGACCCACACGGGTATTGCTTCTGATCTGCTCCGCCCTGTCTCTCCCTGGCTCTTTTTGTCAGTTCCAAATAGCAATAGCTCGCATTGCCTCATGTACCTTCTGAAATACCAAAACTCGTACTTGTGGGCTTGGTTCATTCTTATCATATTGATCTGCATGTTAACATGGATCTGGTTCTATCCTCCCAACAGCACACCGCCTCCTGAAGCAGGTTCTGCAGGTGATCATGGAGAACAACCCCAACATCAACAGCAGGCCCCTGCACCTCATAGACAAGTTGCAGTAAGGAGATTTCAGATTGCATTTCAGCTGGACTTGTTCTTAATCCTTAAGCTAGCTGCTGTGATATTCTTGTTCAACCAAGATGGATCGAGACAAAGGCTCGTTGTCCTTGTGCTTTTCGCCTCACTTGTTTATTTGTAAGTATCTAATCTTTTGTTCATTCTGTCTAAGTTACATTATGTATCAAACCCCTATGACTTATCTTACCACTTAGTGCAGCTGAAACAATGTTGTGTTGTTTGATCCGGTGTTTTCTCCGACTAAATAATTGGAAGTTCAAATTTGTATTATTTAACAGATATCAAACAGGAGCTCTGACGCCACTGGTGAGATGGCTATCACAAAGTATGCAGAGAGCAGCAGCACCCCCTCGACCACCTCGGGCTGCTGCCAGGGCTGAAAATGATCCTGCTGTTAGGCAGAACGAGAATGCACCTTTAGCAGGTAACATATAATTCCTTTATATAGGCTAAACTTGTAAAACATAACAATATTCTCACGTGTTGAACATGTCCAAAGAGATAGTGGAACACTGGAACTAGCTTGCTTGGGAAGCTGAACTTTGGATAAGCAACTTAGGGAAAGGTTTGATTGGTTAAGTAAATCGTAACCTAATCATGGCCTATGGAAGTTGTATGTATCCTTCAATGATGCTTCTGGCATGAACTGAAATGACAGAATGCAATATTGTTGATGCAGGAGGAGGTGGTGAGGAGGAAAATCGGGCTGGAGTAGATGGTAACCAGGGGGCTGAGAACGAGAATGTGGAGGGTGGTGGTGGTGATGGTCATGGAGGCAATCGCTGGTGGGGCATTGTGAAGGAAGTTCAGATGATTGTGTTTGGCTTCATCACTTCTCTTCTCCCTGGATTTCATAATATAGATTGAAGGCCGGACCAAGCAAAGTTATAGTCCCTAAGTGAGACAGTCTTTAACTTGGAGAATAGATTATCTTCCCCCCCTCTTTCCTTTTCTTGTTTCTCTTTGGCCAAAATAATTTAGATACTAGCTGCTGGCACTGTGGCGAACTTACTGTATTTAGCCTTGTGTTGTTTTTCTGCATTAGCTCTAATGTATGATAGTAACTAGTCGAGGCATTGTGTTTAACAAAACAATGGTGGAGGCCTATACAGAAAGATAAAACTGCTCAGCGGTACTCGTGAAACAGAGAAATGAAGAGCAATGTAAATTATTATTATGATTTCAGTCCTATCGTGGAATCGTCATGAAGTTTTTGTCCACATGATCACTCCTGGTCCTCTATAAGGCTCAAGGGAATGCAAAGTTCCCAGGAGTTTCCCTCTCTTGTCCCAGAAGCCGAGCAAATGCCTTCATAATATTAAAAAAACAGATTGCTTTCGAAGTCCGAGTGTCAATGCACATTACAGAAATAAGCAAAATTACTGCAGGCGACAAGCCAGGCCTACAAAGTCGGGCTGTGCTGAAAGAATAGGGGATTAGTTACAAGATATATATACAGGTCTTGTGTAACATTCATATACTAATGCTCAGCTCTTACATCTCAGACAGAAGATTGCTTATCTTCCTAAGTTCCTTCAGAGCTGCCACTGCCGTTTCTTGTCCTTTAACAACCAACCCGTTTCTCAGGGAATTCTCCACCCCTCCAAACTGACCTCGATCTTGTTGGAAAGTAGACTCTATTACCTGCAGACATCGCCAATGGGTCACTTTCTTCGCATAAAATTCCATGCCAAACAAAAATGTGCATGAAATCTAGTTTTGTGCGATACAAGATAACAAACGTATCAAATGCAAAGCATCTCTTTGCTTCAGGAATGAAAAATGTACCAGACACTACAGTAAAGGCACAACGAATAATGCATTCTTAAGCATTACGAGCTAAAATAACAATACCTGAATATGTTCAAGCATAGACTGTCCAAGGTTTTTCAGAGTACCCATCATATTTTGGTCTACAACATCAACTCTTGCACTAGAATAAGAGTGGAAAGATGCGTCGGCGGAAGAAGCACCTAGCACATCATCCTCTGCATTTGGATCATCAGCAGGCTTTCTAGCATCAACCCTCTCCTGTCCCTTCTCGGATGTCACTTCACCAGTGGAGCCTCTCCCAAACTTCCAAAACCACTGAAGTTTACTCGAAAGAAGTTTCTTAGTTCCAGTCAATGGTTTTTCTGTGCGGTCAGTTTCACTCCCAAGGTCAAGAGTGATCTCACCGGGAAGGAGTGAAACAGGAAGGACTACTGAATCATCCCCTGGATGATGATCATTTTGATCAATCGATGAATTTGAGCCAACACAACTTTTCTCTGAGCCATTCTCACAGTCACAGTTATTAGCACCACTGTGAGGACTAGATGGGTCTGAGACAGCAGGTGAGTTTTCCTCGCTGCAACTATTGTCTCCCAAGCATCTCTCCTCGGTGGAGCATTTGAAATTTCCACCGACACTATCTCCAGCCTCGATTTCTGCATGCTGATGTTCCTTCAGGTTTGGAACTGGGATGTGGACCACATCGACATCGTCTTCTTCCAAGCACAGTTCCTTGGACAAATCTTTAAGCAGATTCCGTCTGACAGAAGACTTTTGTTGCCCCTTCTTGTGACTCTCAGCTTTAGTTCGAGATGGATCAGATTCAGTTCTAGATAGAGTGATTCTCAGCTTCTCTGACCAGCCCTTTTTCTGGGTAAGGGTTTTACTTTGCTTTGCCAGACTGTTATGCTTGACTTCGTCTGCTTTGTGCAGAACTCTCCACTTCTCCTCCCAGTAACTGTCTGGCACCTTGTTCAAAGGAGGTACCGAAGATATAGAGTCAGATGAATGAGTGTGGCTTCTAACCACTTTCGGTTTACTATTAGTGTAGTCCACACCGAATGAAGGGGAGGGGCAAATAAGATGGAAATCCAAAGCAAGGGATTGTAAAGACTTGGCTTTCTCTATCAGTTTTAAGAGGTCGACACTCTCAGGAAAATTCAGCAGTCTTTGGAGACATGTAGTAGCATTCTCTGTAGCAAGCAGGGAAGATCTCAAATGAAGTATCATTGCAACAGCCATACCTGAAATCAATGCTCCTCGAGATGAACTGAATATATTAAAGCACAAGGTTCCTTCTCCATCAGCAAAACTGCACAACTTTTTACTATCTGCTGCAAATATTTCATCCCATATTAACAAGAGATTTTCAAGGGCAAATTCTCTTCCGAATAAAACTCTCAACCAACGGAGTGAAAAGTACTGTGGTTCAACACCGAGCTCCACAAGATGACTGTGCAAAGACGAATCAACTCCAGAGAGCAAATGGTAGAGTGCTGTGGAAGCTTCAATGACAGGAGGTAAGCCAGATAAGGATCCACCCACAGGAGAAATGGAGAAGAAATCAGTTATTGCAACTGAACCTTGAGCCCCACTCATCAAAGCATCAAACATGCAGTAGGCGTCATGTTCCATAAACTTCTCAGACAAAACGATTCCCAGTTCACCTTCAGCGCCATAAGCATCACAAAGATATATAATTGTTTGAATCTCGGTATCAAGCTCATCAAGACTTGTAACTTTAACAGTATTCTCTTGGATGTCATTCTCCTCTTCCATGCTGTCCATTATTTTTTTGAAATCAAAATTGTAGGAGAGATTGTCTCCGTGAGATAAGCCATCAAACTTGTCTGTAAAGTAGTCTTCATACTGTGTTCGCACTTCACAGAGACGTTTCATGTCTACATGAAGAACATATAATAGAGGAGCCAAAAGCTCATGCATTCCTGTTTAGACAAAAAAAAAAAAAAAAGAATTAACAAAACTAATACTGCATAGAAGTCTGTGTACATCTTTCTATCAACAACTTCCACAAGACAGATGCAAATGGAGGACAAGATATGTAAGAGTAGAGATCAATGACTTGAAGTGGAAACAACTGTATGAAGCAGATTCTTGCGCAGAATGCCCATATTCGTGTGGCCTTTACTCATCGCAGGAACAACAAATGTGCCGATTGGGTAGCTAAGGAAACAAGGAGCGGCTCCCTCCCTCTAGAGTGGATTCATATTCTTGATTTGATCTTTCCTCTATTGTAATAGGCCAAGCTTGTACCACAATCGTTCAGGAATGAAATTTAACCATTTGTCAAAAAAAAAAAAGAAGAAGTGGGAAACAACAAAGATGCTCACCTTTGGACCTTCACAAAAATGTAAAATCAAGAATAAAATTCATTTATACTTCAGCAGCATGTTTAAATAATAACAAGGACGAGAGGGCATTAGAACTTTGAAACATTCCTATACGCCTGCTCTTTAATTAAGAAAAATGAGAATTGTATTATAATATCTTCTTCTTATAGCCAAAATAAGTGCAATGAAATGAGAAAAAGATGCACAAAAAGGTTCAGTAGCAGTATCGCATAGAAAGACAGAGAAATACAAGGCAAGCCAGGAAACAAATAGTACAAAAGGATGACTCCATAACGGTAAGATACCTTGTCTATAACCACACTCGGGATGTCTGAGGCACCACAACAATAGAATACGCCTTAACATTCCTTGACATCCAGGTGTCTGAAAATAACTCCCATGTTCTGGATACAAACGTGAAAGATCCTGGTCAACTGTTTTTTCCAGTTCGGCATTCCGAAAGAAACGCCCCCAGGTGCTATCTGCATGATCAAGTTACAACACGATTAAATGGAAGTGAGTTAGACAAAAAGAGAAGAAAATTGGAGAAAAAAATAAGTAACTTGGACAAAAAGAAACGAAGTGGAAGTAAAATTGTCAATGGAGATGATTAACAGAGTGAAAACATAACTGACAGGCCTTTATTACGGCAAACAGCCAACATTCACAAAATCTAAAACCAAAATCAGTGGTTAAACTAAAACACTTTACAAATTTGAGAGAGATGCCAAGTGAAACTAATTTACAAAAGATAAAATATCCCCAATAACGTTGAGAGACAAAGCAACAGTCAGCTGACAGAATATGGATAAACAACATAGTATTTTATAGTCAACCAATCTTTGAAACTGAAACAGTTATTCTGAATACACCTTTAAATGTACAAATACAGAAAGAATCTTTACCAGGGTTCTGGGATAGTGGATTGTCAATAACAAAATTAGGAGAATTACTTCCATCCTTCGATAGATGTGGATCAACCAATAGCTTCCTTCGCAAACTTGCATATCTGACGGAAAAGGAAAAGATTCAGGTACATTCAAACATTTGGAGAACCATCAAGATTAAACTAAATAAGGAAATACATAGAATTATTTGCCATTAGGCACTTGAGTCTGAGACTAACTGGATAAAAGTGGCGACAAGTTGTCTTTCTTTTCTTTCATCATGTTTGTCATTGTTTTTCAGGCCACAATTTGAGAAACAAATATGTAAAGCCAAAGCTCATGGGCAATAACTTATAAAGCAGCTAGAAAGATCTACAAGTTGTTTCTTATTCCACAGGGACGTATACCAGATACAAAGAGTTGTTAACGAATGATAAGAACACTGTAAAGGTGTGAGCTGTGGCATCTTTCCCTCTTAGGTTGGCTCACAAGTCAACCATTCCTCCAACGGTTAGGGATTTCATGAAGACAAATCAAAAAATATAATCAGACCATTAAGTAAATCCTTACCACAACTCTGTCCTTACCGATGTCTCTCCACACACAAAGGAGAAATCGTAATCGAATTGAGATCCATGAGCAATGGGAAGCCAACCCCTGTCCCCACAACTTTCTATGGGGGCAAAGCAAAAAAAAATCCATTAAGCAGCTTTCTCGCTCCATTATCCTGCATGTTCGGAAGCTATCATTTTCACTATCATCCACTCGAGGAGAAGAGTGGCATGTCTGGACGGTAGGAGATTCAGTTGTAGCTCTTTATATACCTTTCTATACTGAACTGAATGGCACCAAGGATATCTTCAATTCAAAGTTCCGGGCACTGGTCTAGAATTAATCCGAGTGCATTTGTGTATTTCAGTCCTAATATAACTACCTCGGACTTTGATGAACAAATGTATCGAGCACACTGCTGCACGCACAAGCATTTATTCTATCCCTTTCCAGTAGGAGTTGCGGCGTAGATGATAGCAGATGCGCTGTGAACTCTAAACGAGTAGGAAATGAGCTTTTATGGTTCGCACTTATCAGCAAATTAAAACTTCAAGGACACGAGGGACATGCAGGATCAACACAAGTTTAGGAGACCATCATGAGAAATCGTTCAGGCAGCAGCAGCATCAACAATTGAGATATAATTGAATAAGAACGGAGTGATGTAACGAAGCATCTGAAAGATATAATAAGAGAGTCGATCTTTCGGTTACCTTCTGCGAGAATCGGCAGTGACTCGGCGGAGAACATCAATTGTCGGAGCAGAGGAAGAGGGTGAGGAAAACGGCGGAGGAGAAGGCAGAATCCCGAGATCCATGCGCCATTGAACACCTCTGAGGTTGGCGAAAGGAGGGGAGGAAGGGCCAGAGCTGGGAGGGAGGGAATTTGTAGGTGGCGGCGCCAATTCCGGAATTAACTGTTCGACTGCGGCGGCTGGGGACATCACCTCTTTCTGATTTTTCTTGTCTTGCTTCCGATCAGGAATTCTACCGGAGAAAGAAACCAGAAGTAGGGATGAGATTAGAATACATACCAGAAGAAAGATAGGGGTTTTGTAATGTAATTATTTTCGTTTATGCTAGTATGTCATGTCAGATCATCATCATATTAATTAAAAAAAGTTGGATGAAGATGATGATTCGTGATTGAAATTTGAAAGGGTTTTGTTTTGCTTTGTTTGGAGGCCGATGAAAATGAAACTTAATATCTATTTAATGATTTATTTGTAATAGTGAAAAATTATAAGAACTGGAAACAGAGACCGGTGATTGGTGAATGAGAGGGTTCAGAAGAACTCGGAGGGCAGGGTATCTGGGATTTCATCATTCATCTTCCCCTTTTCTCCTCCTCCCAACCTTCTGATTAATGGTAAGTTGGTAACATATATATATATATAGTATCGTTTGGTACCCAAATCCCAAGCATCATGAATTTGAGACAATTCCATTGTTTGCTAAGGGACACAAGAACCCTTTCTTTAGATCCAAATCCGTGGACCCCACGGATTTGCAAATCTCATATTTCATTTGGGATTTGATCATGGAAGACAAAATTGTAAGACAAATCAATGATAAATCCATGATAAAAATTAACCAAACAAACAGTGAACTCTTCCAAATTCATAATGCAACAAATCCATCATAAATCCAAAGGTTTTTAAAACTCAAAACCCTCATTTTCAAATCCAACAAGCATAGTAAAATACAGTGGGAGCAAGGTAGATCTACCGAATTGGTTTATTTGCGTTCCGGGATGGGATATGGTGACAACCCTAAGCGGTTGTCAATATGACAATCAAGAGTATTTTGGGTATGAAAAAAAATAAATTTATTAATTAATTATTTTATATTAATTACACATTGAGAATTAAAAATTCATATTAAATACATGGGGTTCTTAGAAAAAATTAGACCCTACAATTAATACACTTATATCTTTCGCTATCTCTCTCTTCTTTTTCCAGCAGCCTCTCCGCTTCGATCGCCAAATTTTCTCCGACCGGCAGACTTTTTTTCCGGTGAAATCCTTCGATCAGACCATTCCGGCCACCTGCAAAAAAGTATCACTCCGTCAATGCGCTAATGGTAGTAATTTTTGACTAGTGGTACGATACCACTACTCACTAGTAGCGCTACTAGTGGTAGTGGTTCGCTACTAGTGGTACTGGTAAGCTGTGTACCACTACCACTGAGAGCGTACCACTAGAAATTAACGCAAACAAAAAAATCAGATCTGAAATCAGGAAAATCATAGGATCTGGAAAAAAAAATTCGGGGATGTGGAAAGGGGGAGGCATGGAAGAGGCGGTGACCTCGCGACGAAGGTGGTGGTGGGAGAAGGAGGGCGCGACGACGGGAGGGCTGCGACAATGGTGAGAGGCGGAGGGCGCGACGGGTCGGCAAGAGGACTGCGGCGATGGTGGTGGCAGTCGACAGAGAGAGGGAAGAGATGGGAGGAAGAAGAAGAAGGTGTGATGGCATGAGAGAGAGAGAGGAAAGAGAGAAGGTAGGGTTTTGAGTAAATTCGGGAGCGTACCACTAGAAATTAACGCAAAAAAAAAAACCAGATCTGAAATGGGGAAAATCATAGATCTGGAAAAAAAATCGGGGTTGGTAGCTGGGTGGGATTGGGAATGGGAACTGGTTTGTGATTTCAGTTTCAGATTAGCGGGTTACCTGCGGCCTGCGGGTACCCATTGTTGACATATACAATCCCAAGTCCTGCCCCACAATAAATAAAACGGGTATTTGGGTATCCGTAATCCTCAAAAAAGGGACGGGCATGGGTATACCCAAATACTCATTTCCCGTTGATATGATCTCAAAAACCCTCTTCCATCATTCTTGGTTGATTTCTAAAGAAGCTAGTCCTACACACTTGAAGAACATGGAATTTGGGCCAAGTCATGAGACTGTTTCGGGTAGGGCTGTTAATCGGTGCGGTTTCGGTTTAACCGAACCGCACCGTCGGTTAGCCGAGACCGAAACTCGCTCGCTTTCCCCAACCGAAGCCGACACCGACGCCGTCCTCGGTTAACCGGCAACCGAAACCGTCGGTCTCGGTTTGAGAGGACGGTTAGCCGAAACCGCCAGAGGAAGCCGGTTTTCGGTTTCGGTCAGAAACCGACCAATGAAACCGATCTCCTGCACACAGCAGACACACCCTGGTAGGGAAGTCAATCCAACCTGTAACCATGGGTACCCTACCCGACCGTAACCGGTCAACGAGGGTAATTACCCGCTTTGACGGGTTAAGGGGCGGGTACGGATAATACCCGGTTTCAAAATAAAGGGTAGGGTACGGGTACGGTAATCGATAATACCCGCCCCGTTATACCCGCCCCGCTAACCAAAGGGTCAATTCCCCTTGAGAAATTTAGTTTAGTTTGAGAAATTGAGTGTAGCTACCATTATTGATGACGTAGATGTAGACGATTATTATGTTTGTGTGGATTATAGAAGCAAGAACAATTAATATGTGTTTGTTGTTTTTATTTGTGTGGATTGTTGAAGCTAGAACAGTTACAAGTATTGAGAATTTTTAATGGACAATAGTATGTATGTGCATATATGTGTATAAGTTCATAGTTTAGGATTCGTACCCATGGTTACCCGAATACCCGTGGTTACCCGGTGGGTAGGGTATGGTTTTATAATTTTCATACCCGATGGTTATTTGGTCGGATATTTTAGAAGGCTCTACCCGGCGGGTTAGGAGTTGGTATAGGGTAAACCCGCACCCGACCCTACCCATTGCCATCCCTACACCCTGGCCCCTGCTGGCTGCTGCATTTTTTCTGCACACACACCCTCCTGTCTATAATCTCAACAAAATCATACAACATATTCAACAGACAAACCCGTTTTACTTTGCCTTCATATACATGCATATATAATATAAATTTCATAAATATAAGTACATAAACGAATATGAGCTCTGCTCATTTGACTATGACCATCTCTACACCATATATATTATACGAATGAAGCCTGTATATATATATGAATAACCATTGATTGCGGCAAAAGATAATGATGCCTGAAGGGGTAGTAGAAGGTAAGATAAATCTCCAATCACCACCGCCGGTGGGGATACAGAGAAACTTAATGAATGAATTTGCATCTAGTGGCTTGCATCTGATTTCGACTTTGTTCCGTTCTTGGGGCTGTTGGAGACTTACATTGGTGATGGTGAATCGGTGATTGAACAGGGCAGAAGACGGCGGGAGAACAGGGCAGACGACGGCGGGATTCCGGGGCAGAAGACGGCAGCGTCGGCAGCGTCGGCGACGACGACTTCTGTTGGGCGACTTCTGTTGGGCGGGAGAACAGGGCAGACGATGCAAAGGTTGGGAGCGGGAGGAGTGAGGACGGCGCTGCCGCTGCGACGGCCGACGACCGACGAGCTCGACGGGGACGACCGGACGAGGCGACTGGCGGGCGGCGGTGAGGGTAGGGACTAGGGTCGCCGGTCGGATTACTGGGGAACGAAATGGGGAGGACGAGCGGCGGGTGAGGAGAGTGGAGACTGGGGAACGAATTTTAGGTCAGGGAGGAGAGGCCTTCCCCGATTTCGCCATTAGGTCAGGGAGGAGAGGTGGCCAAACGACGCTGTATTGAGGACAGGTAAGTGTGGTCGGTTTTTTGCGGTTACTTTGCACGGTTTCGGTTTTAACCGCTAACCGCTCGAATTGCCCAACGGCTGATGTTAGCCAACCGCAACCGACAACCGCAAGCAACCGACGGTTTTCGGTTGGTCAGAAAACCGACGGTTTCGGTTCGGTTTCGGTGGTAACCGACAAACCGGAGACCGATTAACAACCCTAGTTTCGGGTAGCCTTCTTTAGGAGCATGGTTTGGGCGATTGGCATGATAGAAATGGTGATGGAAAGGTATGGGTTGAACCTTGCATGTTGATAAACAAGTTGGAGTGTCTGGGAAGTCGAGATAAGGCTGGGAAGTGGTGTTTTCAAGCTTGACAAAATCCTATGGCAGCACAGGCAAACTGCCAGTATTTGTCCAAGGCATGGAGCTGTTGCAGGAAGCTCACTTTGAAGCTCGGGAGATGACAAATGGTTGGGAACCAGGATCCAACGTTTAGCTCACACGAAAGCTGGCATTTTCTAGTACAGAAACAAGGTATTGGGTGATCCAATTGGAGTCGGGAGGATGGAGAATGAGGGTCTCAAAGTTGGCATCAACATCAGTTTATTACTTGCGCTTTAATTCCGTTTATCCCAAACACCCAAGAACATTCATTTTTTGTTCGAGTTTCGTTTTAATCAATCCAATCTTGGATTAATTGTTTTGTTGCGTACTTTGCTAAAAATCCAACCCTCGAGGGTTGCATTAGTGATGGGATGGAAGTGATGAAGGACAAGGCGCGTCTGACGCTGAAGATGCTTTGTTTTGAGGAAAGCAAAGAAGACAAGGATGAGGATCTGTCAGTGGAGGAAGGCAACCATGAGTGGCCCCAATTAGATAAATGAAAGTAATGTTTTGGAGTTGTCGTGTAATTGGACCGACTTCGACAAGTTTGACATATTTTAGCTTTCAATGATCAGTTTTGGCTGATGAATTGTCTTTCACAAACAATGTCTTGCAGAAATGTCATAATTAGTCAAATGAGTCGTTTAAGGTTTAGTAAGTGTAATTTTTTTAGTTGTACTCGCGAAATGGCGGGTTTAGAGGGCATTATCTCATTGCACCTGTTGCACCCGTCTCTGGGAACGTCGCATCCGCTTCGGACTCACCATTGATCTTACTTGGAGGGTTAAAGAATTTAAATCATATTAGTTCTAATTTAATTCCACTATCATTAATATACAATTTGAAGTAAAAGTTAATTAGTTAGTTGTACTCGAAGGTTCATTATTACCCGTTATACATATAAAATTTCACGTATTTCATACGATAATTATGGTAGTTTTAATTAATATGTTTTTATCACATTCTTGTTAATCAAATTTAACTAGATCGTTATGAAGATAAAACATAAGAATTTTAGTCACTAAAATTTTTTTGACGTATCATGAAAGAAACGGAATTAACCCAATTTAGGGATTTTCTCAGCATTCAAAAAACGGTATTACGAAATTAATTAAGCTAATATTACTACTTGACTACTAATTGGCACATAGCCTAACTTGCTAACTTTCTGCTTACCTACTTCCATAAATTTGGAGAACATTGGTTCGAAACCCTAGAATTGCCTTTTTTATAATTATGACGGTGAGTATATAATCGTCTCTAAGACTCAAATCATCCCCTAACCGTAAAGTCAAAAGCGAATGACACCATTAAACAGCGAACGTGGTACCTCCATGCCAAGATCTCTCGCCTGTAAGGA